TGTCAAAATGCAATACAGAGTAATGAAACTTGACCTGCAAATCTTATTTGTGACATCTCATATATCTTTAAAGTTTAAAGCAAATACCTGTGCTAGTTTCAGAAATTTTCAAGTACATTTTAAAATTTAAGAACATTCCCTAAGTCAATTTTTGACCTTCAAGTGTGACCTTGACCTTAAGCCGGCAAAAGGGTGACATGGGTTCTGCACATCCCCTTGTTGAGGTGAACATTTGAGCCAAGTTTGAAGAAAATCTTTCAATAAGTGTAGGACTTACAGAGCGGACACGACAAACTGTCTAATATTTTATTGTTTGATATTTGACCTTCAATTTTGACCTTGACCTTAAGCTGACACATGGGCAACATGGGTTCTGCACATCCCCTTGTTGAGGTGAACATTTGAGCCAAGTTCAATTAGTGTAGGACTTACAGAGCGGACACGACATACTGTGCAATATTTGATTGTTTGATATTTGACCTTTAATTGTGACCTTGACCTTAAGCTGACACATGGGCAACATGGGTTCTGCACATCCCCTTGTTGAGGTGAACATTTGAGCCAAGTTTGAAGAAAATCTTTCAATTAGTGTAGGACTTACAGAGCGGACACAACGTACTGTATAATATTTGATTGTTTGATATTTGACCTTAAATTGTGACCTTGACCTGACACATGGGCAACATGGGTTCTGCACATCCTCTTGTTGAGGTGAACATTTGAGCCAAGTTTGAAGAAAATCTTTCAATAAGTGTAGGACTTACAGAGCGGACACGACAAACTGTCTAATATTTTATTGTTTGATATTTGACCTTCAATTTTGACCTTGACCTTGAGCTGACACATGGGCAACATGAGCCAAGTTTGAAGAAAATCCTTCAATTGGTATAGGAGTTATAGTACGGACACGAAAATGGAGACGGACCGACGGACGGACGGACGCGACAAAGCGCATCCATTATAGCTCCCCCCCCCCCCACATTTCACATTTTGTGGTGGGGGTATAATGACAAATTAGAACAATGTACCTACTCTGATAGCACTTCACACATACACAATGACAAATTAGAACAATGTACTTACTCTGATAGCACTTCACACATACATGTACATAATGGCAAAATAGGACGATGTACCTACTCTGATAGCACAACACACATACATAATGGCAAAATATGACAATGTACCTACCCTGTTAGCACTTAACACATACATAATGGCAAAATAGGCCAACGAACGGTATAAGCAATAGGACTGGATTATCACAGGAAACCTTCAAATCAACAAGAAAACAAAAGCAAAATAAAAGAAATATTTCTAAAGTATGACTTATCAATTAAAGACGTGTTAAAATAAGTGCCTGTTGAATTTCAAATAGGATCAATGGTACAATGAGGTATTATATAAAAAGTTAGCAATATAAAAGAATACATAATAGTTATATTGCACTTTAAACATGAATTTTGTGTGATTAATAGAAATAAAAATAAAAATATCTGATTATTTTTAACGTAGACCATGGGTAATTGGCACTATAAGGAACTGTAACAAGAGCCACCGCCGGGCGGGGGCAACGCTCGACTTTTTACTTTTTCTAAACGCAAACATAGAAAGGTTTGGACATATCTTAACGTTTCCTTTTTATAAATTAAGTTGGTCTGTCTTGTCACATTAGTTTTGTTTATATATTTTGTATATATATATGAATAGAAACATTTAGCAAATTTCTAAAAATAGGAACATTACGCAATTTCTTAAAATAGCAACATGACGCAATTTCTAAAAATAGAAAAAATGACACAATTTCTAAAAATAGAAACAATTTCTAAAAATAGAAAAAATGACGCAATTTCTAAAAATAGAAAAAATGACGCAATTTCTAAAACTAGAAAAAATGACGCAATTTCTAAAAATAGCAACAATGACGCAATTTATAAAAATAACAAAAATGACGCAATTTATAAAAATAGAAAAAAATGACACAATTTCTAAAAATAGAAAAAATGACGCAATTTTTAAAAATAGAAAAAATGACGCAATTTCTAAAAATAGAAAAAATGACGCAATTTCTAAAAATAGCAACAATGACGCAATTTCTAAAAATAGAAAAAATGACGCAATTTCTAAAAATAGAAAAAATGACACAATTTCTAAAAAAAAGCAACAATGACGCAATTTCTATAAATAGAAACAATGACGCAAATACTAAAAATAGAAAAGATGACGCAATTTCTAAAAATAGAAAAAATGACACAATTTCTTTAAATAGAAACAATGACGCAATTTCTATAAATAGAAACAATGATGCAATTTCTATAAATAGAAACAATGACGCATTTTCTAAAAATAGAAACAATGACGCAATTTCTAAAAATAGAAACAATGACACAATTTCTTTAAATAGAAACAATGACGCAATTTCTATAAATAGAAACAATGACGCACTTCTATAAAAAGAAACAATGACCCAATTCTATAAATAGAATCAATGACGCAATTCTATAAATAGAAAACAATGACGCAATTCTAGTTGTTGTTGTTGTAAATATATATATATATATATAGACACACACACACACACCAATAAATATATAATTATGGTCATTTAATGCACAAATCTGAGAAAATTCAGTAATTTAACCTTCAAGGTCAAGGTCATTAAAGAGCCCAAGCAAATTTGGGTTTGATAAACAACAAGGTCTGATCCTTAAGAATGTTCTCTTATAATATGAAGTTGATCCCTTCAATAATAGCAAAGTTACAGTCAGTTACCGCCAAAACAATGAAAATTTCAATAATTTGACCTTTAAAGTCAAGGTCATTTATGAGTGAAGGTCAAGGTCTGGCTGGTAATTTTTAAGGGATTGAAGATTATTATGTTCAAGTTTGAAAGACAATCCATTCAAAAAATAACAAAGTTACAGCCAAGTTAACAGCATGAACAATGCAAAAATTGGACTTTTTAACCTTGAAGGTCAGGTCATTTATGGATGAAGGTCCAAGGTTAGTGTGGTCTACTGAAAGGTCTTGTCCCAAGGGTTTGTTGTGGCCAAGTATGAAGACAATACACCAAAAAATAAACAAGAGAGGCCATGATGACCCGAGTCGCTCACCAGCAACAACTGCTTTTCAGTGTTGGAATGTCATATATTTTTATATTAAATTTGAGCAATAGAATAATGTTTAAACAATAATTTGAAGAAATGCCATGACCTTGGGTATTTAAGCTCTAGCTTAAACAGGGCTAATCAAAATAATATGAGCAAACTTGATAAAAGACTACCTAAGAATGCTACAAAGTTTGGTGATCATCTTTCAATTATTTCAGTAGGAAATGATGTTTGAAAGTTTTTTCTGTTTTGAGCTTAAGTGGCCCCTTAAAGGGGCTAATCAAATAAATATAAGCAAACTTGATAAATGAGTACCCATGAATGCTACAGACAAAGTTTGGTGATCATCAATCAATTGGTTCTGAAGTAGAAGATGTTTAAGGGTTTTTCTATTTTTAGCTTTAGCGGCCCCTAAAAGGGGCCAATCAAATATATGAGCAAACTTCATAAAAGACTACCCAACAATGCTTCAGACAAAGTTTAGTGATCATCCATCCATTAGTTCTCTAGAAATAGACATTTAAAGGTATTTCTTTTTTTTAGCTTAAGCGGCCCCTAAAAAGGGCTTATAAAATTCATATGAGCAAACTTGATAAAAGACTACCCAAGAATACTGCAATCAAAGTTTGGTGATCATCCATCAATTAGTTCTTAGAAAAAGGCATTTAATTGTATTTCTATTTTTAGCAATAGGGACCCCTAAAAGGGGCTAAGCAAATTAATATGAGCAAACTTGATAAAAGACTACCCAAGAATGCTACAGACAAAGTTTGGTGATCTTCCATCAATTAGTTATTTAGAAATAGACATTTAAAGGTATTTCTATGTTTAGCTTTTGCGGCCCCTAAAAGGGGCCAATCAAATTAATATGAGCTAACTTGATAAAAACACTACCAGAACATGCTACCGACTAAGTTTGGTAATCATAAGTTTGGTAATCATCTATCAATTAGTTCTGAAGGAGAAGATGTTTAAAGGTTTTTTCTATTTTTAGCCCTAGAGACCCCTAAAAGGGGCCAATCAAAATAATATTAGCAAAATTGATAAAAAAACAACCCAAGAATGCTACAGACAAAGTTTGGTGATCATCCACCTATTAGTTCTGTAGAAATAGACATTTAACAATATTTCTATTTTTAGCTTAAGTGGCACCCTAAAAGGGGCCAATCAAATTAATATGAGCAAACTTGATAAAACACTACCTGAGCATGCTACCGACTAAGTTTGGTGATCATCCATCCAATAGTTCTGTAGGAGAAGATGTTTAAAGGTTTTTCTATTTTTAGCCCTAGAAACCCCTAAAAGGGGCCAATCAAAATAATATAACCAAACTTGATAAAAGACTACCTAAGAATGCTACAGACAAAGTTTGGTGATCATCCATCAATTAGTTCTCTAGAAATAGACATTTAAAGGTATTTCTATTTTTAGCTTTTGCAGCCCCTAAAAGGGGCCAATCAAGTAAATATGAGCAAACTTGATAAACTTGATAAAACATTACCTGTGTATGTAAGATCTGTGGTAGGATAGAACATTTGACACTTTCCAGTGGGTGGGGTATTCAGTATAAATTATATTTCACTCATGGCACCAGCACTTAGAGACTACTTCTCAGTACAAAAAGTAGGTACCTGGGGGACATAACCTAGATTATGCTAACTATTAACAAAAACAAATAGCATATTATATAAGGTCCAAATTTCACAGCTGTAGCTAAAACACAACTAGGCAGGTAATTCGAACAAATTCTAATAAAACTAATATCAAAATGAAATTCTGCATCTGGCACTTCACATGTAGTGATGGACCTGGATGAAATATATCCCCTTTCCCTTTTGCAATGAACAAGGTGCTGCAACTTAGACTTTAATATCTAACAGAACTACCATCAATTACTTCCAGTTTATTAAAACTTATCTATACTATTTAACAACACTGTCATATGATGGTGGTTGATCTTCACTTGAGCTTGTTGGTGCTGAAAGAGAAGGAAATTAGTGAAGATGATTATAATTGAGCCGCGTCATGACAAAATCAACGAAATGCCTTTGCGACCATCATGGATGCAGACCAGTCTGCGCATCTGAGCAATCTGATCAGGATCCATGCTGTTCTCTTACAAACCCTATAACAAGTAGAGAAACTGATAGCGAGCAGCATGGATCCTGATCAGACTGCGCGCATTGGTTTTGTCATGACGTGGCTCAATTATGATTTTATTATTATTTGTAAAAATCTTAACATCAACAACTCATACACATCTATACAAATAACATATTTCATTATTGAAACAAAGAAACAATAATGAATTACATTTATTATGAGAATAAATTAAAAATATTTTGAAACTATCTTTACCTGATGGTGCAGGAAATCTTCCATCAGTAAGGACAGGATTTACATGATGTGTTTCAGTCTGTGGTACTGGCTGGTATCCTGGCCCAGAAACAGAAGCGGTTCGTGAAGCACCAGGATAAGCACTCTGCATATCATGTATCTGGTAATTTCCTGGCAATCCTGGCTGGAATGGGGCTTGCTGTGGAGGTTGGTAACCTGCCTGAGGTGGACCTTGGTAACCAACTGGTTGCTGTTGTGGATGGTAACTAGACAAATGCTGACCTGCAGCAGCATTTCCTTGTACTGTAAAAGATATTGTACAGATGCAGACTAAATTCGAAGTGTATAGCCAACAAACATTTTGCTCTACTACCATGTAAAAAAAACAAGAGTCAGAGCCAAGCAGGGTCACGCTCAACATTTTCATATTGCTAAACTCAAACACATCAGAGCTACAAAAAATTACATTTGGTGTATTGGGGGTGGAGGGGGGGTCAATTATGATATTTATGGTATTAAATAAAAAATATATCATTATAATGTGCATTATATATAACACTTACTAAAATAGTAGTATAAAAAATAAACATCATTAGTGAAATATTAGAATTAAAATAACCTACAAGAGAGATGTCACTGCTCAAAAGGTCAAAATATTACAAGCATCTAGGCACATGGTATCATTACATTACTTTTTGAACATTCAATTTCTAAAAATAAAATTAAAAGGTATGATTACCAATTTGACTGCTACCAGTCTGATACATATATGGAGATCTTGGGAATGAATTCTCCATTCTCCTTCGACGGATTATTCCACAAGTTATTATCAAGATTATGACAATGAACACAACGCTAACTGACATTGCAACAGCAACAGTTGTACCTGATGATGAGCTATTTATAACTCTGTTTGTACCTTCCCCTGGGACTGAAAAATTATATCATATTACATTTAAGATAACTATAGAAGCCAATGTCGCATATCACACATATCATGTCCTGTCATGTATGTAGCACACAAAAATATGAAGAAAAGATATAAACTAGAGAGGGCAATGGTTACAGAAAACAGTACCCTACAAGCTCCTGTAACAAGCAGACCTCTCATCATGAACAAAAAATATTCATACTCAAATATCAAGTATTGATAATACTTGATTATAATATCAAGTATATTGAGTGGCGGCATGGCGGACTGGTTAAGGAGTCGGACTTGTAATCCAATGATCTCTAGCCGCATGGGTTCAAACCCTGTCAGGGGCAAGTTGTTGTTTCCTTGAGCAAGAAACTTAACACTAATTACTCAGTATTGGTTGGTTCCTGTTACAGATTTGAAAGTGTGTCTGTAAGCTTACAGCTTCCAACAATAGATCTAAAATAAATTCTGTATAAACCAAATATCAAGTAAATTTGGATTTTAAGACAAAGAAAATTTCAAGATAAATGGCTGGCCTGGCTTTTATTTATATTTATGACATAAACCTATTAAATAGCAGCTAGTGATAAGAGAGAAAAGAATGATAAATATCAGGAGTTTAACTTACAATCTCTTAAGTACACTTTTATAACAATTGATTGTTTAGTTGACTCAACCCAACTCTGTCGCTTAAACAAAAGAAAGAAGTAAGCTGTTCTCTTAGGACCACACCACTCTTCAACAGATGCGTTGTGACATGTGTACCTTTTCTAAATAAAAAATAAAGCAACAAAGGTAATAAAATTCAGCTAAGTAGTAATATATAGATAAGTAATACATTTATGTTATGTAGGAATATACAGAATGAGATAGTGGTAATTTCACACTCATTTGTTTTTATATGAACATAAAATAGCATAGATTCTGAAGAATCTCATAAATATACCATCTTAATTTTGATTGAAGGCAGTGCACCATTTAATTGTAACGATCACAGCCCAACACTTTGAAATTGCAGGACCTTAAAACTATCAAAAAATGATGGACTGTAAAAAAAGGTAGTATAATATCTCTCATTATTTCAGCATCCACAGCATGAACTAAGAATAAAATTGCCTACTAACCATCTTTAAAGAAGCCACACTGTGACACACTCAAATATTGATGTATAATTTTATAGTATACTCGACAAAATAGATTAAGCACTGATCACCATATACCAGTCAAAGACCAAGGCAGGTAACTCTTGTACATATCAACAGGTTTAATTTAAAAGTTTAATGCTATTCACAAAAATTCCTAATGCACATGCCACTATTGCAATAAAATTGTACGAACCTCTGGAGTTAAATATTTGGAAAGCAAGTGTCTGCGGTATTCCACAATTGTATTACAGTTCAGCTTGAAATTCAATGGCTTGACACAGGTCTGTTTTGTGAATGATGCCCAGTTTATTAACTTTACTGAGCATTCAAATTGATCAATTAGCTCTGCATTGTAGGTGACATGTACTTCCCCTACATCCTCTAGATTGTAACTGTTCCCACATGTTTGAGAGTTTAGGTCCAGGTCTAACCCTAAAATAATAATTTCATCAATGACAATAAAATCTTACAGTCGACACATAATATTTGGCAAATTTATAATATGCAATATAATGTAGGGTAGGTTATGACATTTATTTAAAGCAGCATGCCTAAAAAATCATGCTAGTTTTCCTAAAAATTTTTTAAATGTTTTCTAAAAGTAAAATACTAGTGTGAAGCGAACATAGAACAGTTATAATTGACATCATATTTTTATGGCCAATGTATTGTTTTAAACTTAAGTTAGAAACATGATAAAAGTTATATCAGCCCTAACACTATGTTTGAAATACAATCCCCTATTTCAGGCATATAATATAGATCCCATTAATTTTTTCAAAGGACTGTTTTGACTCTGTTGAATAAATTATCCTTTCTATATAAATTGGCAGTAATGCAGTAGATCATGTAAAGAAAAAAAATTTCGCATGATGATTTTGTCAACTTGTTTTATTTCATATTAAGGGGTCAGTAATAATAGATTTACACATTAAATTAAACCCGACTAAACCTTTTAATACAAATTCTATTTCATTTGATTCATTTTACAATCAAGAGGCCTGTTGCTTTAAAAGTAGTTGGAGAAGTGTCCAATAAGTACAAACAAATCTATAATAAACAGATATCAGCAATCAGCAGTGCTTCCCTTTTTTTGAACCTACATAAATCAATAATAATTTATGCATGTTGTATGGTAGAATATAAGTCAATACTTACTTGCCATTACCAATTCTATAAAACACCAATGAAGACACAACAATAATATTTTTGTTTCCATCTCTCCAGACTGCTTCCAAAACTGTAGCTTTTAGTTATACCTATGGTAGAAAGAAATAAGAAAACAATGGTAAATTTACAAAATCTCAGAGGCAATAGGGTACTGACTTAAGGGCGAGTAACATTTTACAGGCACTTACAGGCTTATAATAAATTAATCGAGGGTTGACCGCAAAACTGTGGTTAGTGTTGTATCTCCTTTATTTAATATAAGTTACCACTCAATTACTGTCTAGTCCTACAGGGACAATGGAGTCTAGGAATATTTTAGCCCATGCAATTTAATCCTTGGCATATAAAAACTTAAGATGTTACACCATTTATGCTGTTTTAAAATAAATTCATATTTCAACATCTATAATTCATTATTGATATATATTTGAGAAATACAAAAAAATGTAATATGTGCTTGAATAGTCACATATAAAAATTATTTAGAATTTGGATTTAAAGATCCTGTATGTGGTAATTCAGGTTGTATATCATCAATTAAGTTTATTTTAGCTCGGCGCCGGAAATTCCATATGTCCGAGATCTCAGCGTCCATGCCTGTCCTCTCTAGAAGTCTCATCGGGGACATCTTTTTCATGCCGATCTTCCTAAGTCCTGTACTTCATTCGATGGAGGAAAGACAATACTGGAAAAGCATCAAGTTCCGTGATGGCTGCAAACAGGCGGTTGACATAAAACGGCCACCCTCCAGAGTTAGTCACGACAGGTCAACCAATCACCTCTGGTACTTGAGATGACTTGACCTTGACCTGCCGTGTGCCTTCTCCGCGACATGCACGCCTCTGGAGGGTTTTGGAGAAATTAAGTGAAATTATATATATGTATATGATTATGCTTATAAAACAATTTTCAAACATCTAAGAATATGTAAAATATGAACTGCAAATATTTGTACACATTTTATGTAATTATTAAATATATGCATTAATTTCTTATTGAAAAATTTGACTTAAATTTTATAGAAAATAAATTTCTAATTACCTCCCTTTATTTACATGAAATGTTAAATTCAGTAATGTCTTTGAGTACCATATTTATGATATAAAACCATCAAAAAATGTGTTACAGGATCTTTAGGACGATTTGAGCTCCACACCAAATGGCTATGGCTTAACTTGGTCCTTGACGATTGTTTAAGATTGTAATGTTGAGACATTATTGTTGTGTTAAACATTTTACATGAAAATGGTTAATTGAATTTAGAAGCATCTGCAAATGGGTGCATACGGCGGTCATCATGTAACTGTCAACAGTTCAATGTCACATGTTTGTGCCATTGAATGATTCCATAAAATGAAGCAAATGATCCCCAAATGATAAAATGCATTTGACTGAACAAGAAAACAATGGATAAAACAAAATAAAATGAAATTTTGAAATGGGATCAGAGGTTGTGAAGCTTGTATATCACAGATACTAGCTGTCAAAAGACAAATTTAAAAGCAGGCAACATATTCTAAGGGTGATTATACAGTATTTAAGTGAGGAATATGGAATCACCAAGCTAGTAAAAAGTCAAACAGAAAGAACTAATAGCACCACAAATGTTAAATTCTGCGCAAGACGGTGCTAGGGGGCGTGGACGATAGTTTGCACTTTCCAGTACCATCCATGAACAGGCTCAATCAAACTGAGCCTTCAAGTTCACTTTCTATTTTGACGTTCTTTACCTTTAGGATACCTGTAGGATGATTCTGGGCTCTGATGGAAGGGCTAAGACCTTTTTTAAGCCCCTCTTATTTTAACAAACTTTCGCCACTACTTCATATTGGTCTCACTTATACTACTTTCAGTTCACACTGTTGTATAATTTTGACAGCATAATGTTATAATAACATTTTAAACTTTATATCCGATCCAGTGTTGATCTAGTTTGATTTTAAATTCACGCACATGCCATTTTTGGCAAATTATTTCATATTTTAATTACACGTCATGAAAACCGATACAAGCAATGAGTTGTTCTACTACGAGTCTACGAGGCATTTCTAGTTTTAAATCATGATCTCTTGTTGATGACGGGTAAATAAAATTTTTTTTTTTAAAAATACATCTTAAACCTTTCAATTTGCAAAAATTTAAAAATGCGGGCGAATAAAAGCCGTATACAAATTTAAAAAAAGGTTTCATTATGACATTTAAAGTATATTCATTTTGCGATTAGTATAGGGGTTCTTCATTTCTGTTTCCTTAAAGTTTAAAAATTTATTTAAAAAAATTTACAAAATTTTATCAGTAAAAAGGGATCTAAATATTAAATCAAAAAAGATTAAAAAGTTTTATATAAATATTCAACAAGAGGGAAATTTCATTTTTTCATTATTTTGAAAAATTTCCCAAAAAGCAATTTTGAAATGGCGTTTTCTTAACAAAGGGACGTAACTTTTGATCTACTAAGCTGGTCGGTATACTTTGCAGACCGACTTTGCATAGTGTTAATACAATAGATTAAATCTCTTGTCATAAGGTGTGGATAGGAAAGATACTGATTTAATAAGATCCTATTTTGCAGACAGAATCTACATTGATTTTTTCTAAAAGGTTGCACAAGAAACAAAATATGAAACTGTAAGGGTGTTTGAAAATAATTCTATTTGAACGACCCTGGTGGAAGTAAGAAAATCTGTGTTTTGCAGATAAAATATTGATTGAATTTTGCAGACAGAATGTCGAATGAAATTTGCAGACACTGGTTACATAAAAAACAAAATATGAAATTATATCTGAATATAAGGAAAACCTGTATATCGCATACATGTAATATAGATTGAATTTTGTAGGCAAATTAATAAAGAGCCAAATTAAAAATGATGACCTGTAATATTGAAAATCTGCTGACCGAATGATGATTGAGTTTTGCAGACATATTAAAAAGAGAGGAAAATATTAACTGATAGGTGAATTGAGGAAATCTGTATTTGGCATTCAGCTTTGCAGACAAGTTAAATAAAGAACAAACTTTGAAATGATAGGTGGAAATGAGAAAATCTGTATTTTGCAGACAGAATAAAAATTGATATAGATTTTTGTCTGCAAAATACGGATTTTCATTGACCAATTATTTCATATTTTGTTCTTTATGTATCTTGTCTGTAAAATTCAATCAAACTTCTTTCTGCGAAATTCAGAGTAACATATCGATCGTTCCGCATTGTGTTCTTTAAATTAATATTTAAGATTTTGTACAATACTACTACTGTCTGGTATCAATTAAATCAGTATCTTTCACATCTGAGCCGTGTCATGACAAAACCAACATAGTGGGTTTGCGATCAGCATGGATCCAGACCAGCCTGCGCATCCGCGCAGTCTGATCAGGATCCATGCTGTTCGCTATCAGTTTATCTACTTGTTATAGGGTTTGTCAGCGAACAGCATGGATCCTGATCAGACTGCGCGGATGCGCAGGCTGGTCTGGATCCATGCTGGTCGCAAACGCATTATGTTGGTTTTGTCATGACACGGCTCAGATGATTTAACTCCCCCAATATAATCTATATTGTATGCAAAATCTAAAACCCTTATTTGTTTAACTTGTCTGCAAAATCCCTCTATGTTTAACTTGTCTGCAAAATATACCCACCCCTATACTAACTAACCGGTGTGTATATTTATGATTTATGCCACCATGCATGTCCTAATAATATTTTTATTTTATTTCATTTTTTTTTTTTTTGGGGGGGGGGGGCAGTTTACAGGGGCAGATCAAGTCATGAACAGGATCTAATCACCAAGAGTCTTTGTTTTTATCTATACTAACGGCATTTACCAATAATAATCATCATAATCATCTTGGAAATAATACGGATTGAAAACAGTATTTTTAAATTATACAACGCCTACCAATTTTAATAATGTTGCAATCAAATGAAAGATCACGTCTTAAACTTTCTAGGGATACTTAAAAAGAATCAATTGAAAGTTGCTTCATTTTTTTTTCAAAGTTTATTCGTTTTAGTTTTTTCTGATGAATAACTCTGAAAATCGGTCAGAAAAAATTACAGTCAGAAAAACACATCCCCATTTTAAGTTTTATTTAAATGGATTAATCAATTCTCAACATTTTGGTATAAAATGGAAGTTTAGATCCTAACCTACGTGTATATATGCGGAAAAAAAGATTGATACACTATTTAGATGTTAAGTTGTGTATTAAGTTTTATTTCAGCATGAACAAAAACAGATTTTTTGTTTTGTTTGTTTTCAAAATTATTGACGAAATTTAAGTGCTGAATAATATACGGCTTGTTTATTGAAATCAGCAAAGATAAGTTCGATAACGGATTATAGATATATACTGTAATGATTGAAAAAATACGGACAACTTGTCGAAGCATATTTTTTATGAATACATCAGCGGATGTTCCCTATTTCAAAATTTTACCACTTCAGTCTTAGGGATTCTTTTTTTTTTTCTTTACTTTAATTTTAAATAACGAAATATCGAAATAACCATACTATATACTGCCCCGGTTGAGGAATTGCGACCCGATATTTAACACGAAGAATGAATTTAAAAAAACACATTTTCAAATTAAAGCAATGAATGTATTTAAGCAATTACAATACAACACAGTACAATTCTATTTATTGAAATAACATAAACATAATACACCATTATATACGCTTAAAAATAATTTTTGTCCCAGATTATATAAAATACATATGTGGAGTAATTGGAAAAAAATAGTTTTCTGTAAATTTTAATATCAGATTATATCTGGGACAAAAAAAATAATTTTTGTCCCAGATTATATAAAATACATAATTTTATGTGGAGTAATTTGAAAAAAAAAGTTTTCTGTAAATTTGAATACCAGATTATATAAAAATAAAATTACTCATCAACCAGTAAATCTATAATGTTATTCAAATATGTCTACATTAATATAGTCAATACTTTCCTAGCTCAAAATTCCACAAGTCACAAATACATTTCACTGATATCACGAATTCATTGTCTGATGTGGCAAACAGTTCGCCAAAATTTCTGATGGATACTTATGAAAAGTGAATTAAGAATAAGATTTTAATATAAACACATATTAGTATTGTATATTGTGTGTGGTACGGCTTGTTTAGAAATTTTGTCTTTAAAAAAACTTATAAAAATCTCTGTCTTGATTGTGCAATAAAATGGAATTATTGTTTAGCAGATATCCGTTAAAAAGTCATTTTTCCTTATTTTCATAAATAGCCAAAATGAATAAGCATAATGCAAATTTTTACCAAGTTCATTATAACCAATACGTTAAATAAAAACACAGTTTAATTAATAACATAAATTTGAGGCACCGATCATATATTACTGATACAAAAATGTCCAGCAAATTGCATTTACTTGAAGTACTGCCTAATCTTTATTGTAGTTCTTAAGACTTTTCTTTGTACCACCTTGCCCAAGCGTCTTGCTTATGCTTTGACCTTGAGCTCCGTGCCACCGAAACTCAATCGCCACCTCAACTGCTCTTTCTACTTCTAAACCGAATTATCTCCTCCTTCAAAAATGTCTAGCCTCAGGAAAATTTCAACCTCCAAGACTTTTCCGATACATTTACATCCAGACTCTGTAGTGTGAACGGGATCTTTTTTATCGGATGAAAAGATCAAAACCGTTGCAGACTTCTGTTTTTCATCAACGGGATAGTATTCTTTGTCAGAGACCCATTGACAAAGTCTGACTTCTTGACCTTTTGAAACATGCTTCCGAAATACGTTATTTGCCCACATCTTTCCATCCGATTCAAACGTCTCCTCTCTCTTGTGCAGTTTAGCGTCATATTCCATAACCATAGCGACGCCATATGTGAACCTCATTATTCTTGAAGTTAGAATCTCCTCATTCTGTCCAAATAGAACAGCCCCGTTTTAATTTCGCAAGTTTTGGTAAACCTGTTGGCGAACGACAGGAAAAAACCCCCGGTTTTTTCAATCCCCTTTCGCAAAACTCTGAAACCCACATAGGGTTGGGGTTCGGGAAATCCGCCCCACAAAAATAAGCGAATCAATAGTATACCTTCATGGGTTTGGGATTTCCCCTTACCTCACCCATATAGCTCAAAATACCGGGCAAAAGTCTTTTTGGAAAAAAAGCCCCCGGGAAAATTTTATTGATGGAAGAGGGGACTCCATTCATGAAAATTGACATTCCCTTTCCCCCCCTTGTTTGCTTTTTAAGATGTCAACAACTTTCTTGCCCTCCTTTTTCTCCCATAGTTCTTTCAGTGTTTGTGGTAGCTTGATTCTAAAACGTTCGTTTGAATTCGGTTCCGACTGATGTTTTACCTGTAGAAGAACATAGGAAAAAAATTTAGACCATCTTTTCATTATTGTTGCATTTGTCATGTCATATATGAACAAAATTATTATTTTACATGATCAATACACTCAGATATGTTCTAAACAGAAAATTTACCTCTCTTTTCCTACTCTCGAAATCCATTTTGAGGTCATACTCGTCCATTGGATTATTTTCAACAAAGTCTTGCATTACGGCCTGTCCAATAATAGTATGTAACAACATCATGAATTTCTCATCCACCTTCATTCCACCCCATGGACCTCCGCCTGACATATGAACCTGTTTCATTGTCGAATCCTTATTGATTTGTACTGTTGTTATATCAACTGTTCCACCTATCAAAATAAGAAACAAAACAAGTCTTTTTACTTACATACAAACTAACTAAAATTATGTAGTTATTAACATGTAAACACATTCTAAAAAAGCACATTTATATACCATTTCTAGAAAGAAGAAATCCCTTGAGATCAATGGAAATAATCATAAAAAGGTATGAATTGCGAATTTTGGTTGATAAAGTCGGTTCATGAGATAATATCTAATTTTCCTTAGCATCTAACTATTCTACATTTTAGTATTTACTGTAATGTTTTCAAAGGCCAATACTGGAATGCAGTACAGAGTAACACCTTTAACAGCTGTCACACGGTACTTAAAACACTATTAATTGATAAATGGTGACCTTAAAAAGTAACCTGCAGTACAATAAGTCTTACCTCCTAAGTCCACTACCATGATTGTAGAATCTGGTGCCGCAACATATTTCAGCTTGCCACTATCTCCTTGTATCTCTAATTGATTCACTGGAAGTTGACTGCAATAGATAGCTGCACATTCTGGTTCCAGAGCTATTGACAGGTTTGTGCCAATAATACCAGCCTGAAATGCGTTAATTGCAAGCACATGATTTATCTTAAAACAATTTTGGTTTTTATATTGTCATTCTGTTGAAATATAAACAACAATTTTGATGTCACGAATGTCATTGCAATGTTATAGAAATATCAAGCAATTACATAAGATGTGGTTACCTTTTCTGCCGCCCGTCTCATCACATGTTTAGCCTGGTCATTCCAGATGGCAGGTACTGTTATGACCCATTTTGTTTCGGCTTCCGGGTAGGTGATGCCACTTTGGTTTAAATGTTCAATCACGTGATCTTTCATGTACTTTATAGATTTCGAGAAAACGTCAATAACAGGTAAATGTTTTCCGTGTGCGGCTTCTACAGGTGTTTGGTCATTCACAGTCTAAATAAATAATGTGAAAAAATATTGTGCATTTGATCTGCAATACTCTTTATAGCAAAAGTTCAAAATCATTGTTTTCTTTGTTAGTTTCCATCAGAACGATAGGACCAAAATCGGTCGAATGTATGGTAGTCATTAATCTTCTTGAATTTTAGTTGGATAATTGGATGTGATACCAACAATTTATCAAAGTATTACATTTCCTGCATCAGTAACTTAATTTTACAAGTTATTAATAAAGTGCACGAAAACACACAAGATAAAAACGTGTTGCTTTTTGTTTCGGGAGTGGTGCTGATCAATTGAAAAAAGTAATTAAGATAATAAAAAGAAAACAATAAAAAACAAACAAAAAAAAAACGAAAATTTTTTACACTATTTAATTCGTTATAAATATGTGTTTAATGTCGAATGCTAATATTATAATGTACTACTAATGATATTCCGCGCAAAAACTAAAGGGTTTATTTAGAACTTTGATTCAGTATGAGTCTACTTATATGTTTCTTTAAAACAGAGAAAGGGGCCTATAGAAAAAGATTAAATATATATTGTCTAAAATAAGCATAAACAATGATATGTGATATAAAATATTTTTGGTTTCGAAATTGAAAAAAAAACTACAAACAAAAAGAAAAAATAACAAGCAGACTTTGTAATATAGGACTTGTACCTCTCTATGATAAAGCATCATCTTGAAATGCCGAAAGAAGAACCAGTCCTCGGGTTTTTCATTTTCATCATCAGCACCAAGCATGCTGAACTTTAGTTCGGCCTGGTACCCAAACTCTGCAATACTTTTGTCCGGCTTCAACAACAAGCATGTTGGTGTCTTGTATGTACAAAATCCGCCAGCAGTCCATTTGGTATTACAATGTATTTTCAATCGATCGTCAGTGAAGTCAGAGCGCCATTGTAAAGCATATCCACTTGCATACGTGCCGAAATCAATAGCTATGACAAGACGTGGAACTGCCTGACCCTTCATGAGAAAAATATGCATTAAGCTTATATGAATACGTTTGCATTCCTAGATCTAAACATTTTATTCCTTTTAGATAATGCATACATATTTATTATGTACTGTAATGTATATATAGTATGCCATGGATGGACGGAAGGATGCACCTACAGGATAATAATTATATGGCTTCTGGAACAAAATGTAAATGTGTTTCTGTTTGTCTGAGAAAAAGAAATGGGATCTTTTTAAATATAATTTAGTTTTCAAGAAATCAACAAATATCATTTCAAGTAATTTATGTATGTAGTGCAACAACAGCAACAATGATCTTTTGTCATAGCATAGAAGTCTAACCACCTACGTAACAATAAAAATCGATTATAAACACATTTCTAAGGAGAACCTCTAAATCTAAGTAAAAAGTATTCTAGACTAATTGTAATTGTAACCACGGATTTATATTACATAAATCCGTGTTGTAACGAGTTACTGCTAAAATGACAAAAAGAAAATCAAACTAAAGTTAACATCTGTGTAATTATAATGTTTAGTTATATTGTCAGACAAATTATCTAATTTGGATACTTACATGAAAAGCAAAAGCCGGCCCATCATCCACAGTATCAACAGTTTCTTCTCGGAATCGTAGATTTATCCTTTGGAGACCAGCAGCAATGCCATCGTCAGCCATATCAGCTAATTTCTATCAACTTAAACTGAAAAAAGTTCAGTTGTTAATGTAAAAACCTAGCTTGAAAATCATCATATGACTTGGTTTTCCCGTGATGAAATCATTATCATAAAACGTATTGTACAATACGATAAAATATATTTATGGAAAACCCGTTTTATTTTTTGTTTGAATCAGAAACTGAAAGTACAAATGATTAGACTGGTTGGATATTGGTCACGTGTTTTCCAGTTTGTTTTTTCTTCGATTGTGAAACTACAAACTACATGATTGGGTGAAATTTATCACGTGAGTTCTGTTATTTTTGAATGATCATTCTCTGCTCCATCTGTGTTTATTTTGGATCATAAAATTATACTTAATATGCCGATCGATGCAGGTATGTAATACACGTTCAGTTAAATTAGGTTTAATTAGTATTATTGCACTTGTATATTGTTGAATGGCATCATTTTTTAACCCCAAAAAGTACTTTCGATTTCAAAATCGAAAGAAGATATAAGAAGTTGTAGATCTACTATCATATTAGATGCTTCCATGCGATAAGTTGTGAAATAAAATATATGATAATAATTTTATTTACTCTATAGATATAAATAGAGATATTACCCAGGTTTGATATCTAATAAGCAAACTAATGTTGTTGTTTTTGTTTTTTTTCTAAATTATATTTTTTTAGAACTTTTCAACAATATTGACGAGATGATTATATAAACGTTATTAGGTTTTCCATATATGCTTTATATCTGCATTTTATTACAGAATTTTAATTCATTTCATATAAATTAAATTATTCACATTAAGTGTAATTAGATATATCAGGGGAGACAAATTCTATCTCAAATGTAAATGTATTTAAGTATACTATTTGAGGACATTTAAATAAGGTAACTTTATTTACAATAGATTTGTCGCGTAAATTAGTCTGAAATAGATATAGAAAATGGTGTTTGAAATACTCAAACTGTAGGATCTCAAAATATTATTATCATAATTATGATGTTATATTTAGAGACAGGACTGGTGACCTATATTGTCAACTATTATATATGCAATAAATACTTAAGCAGACGGACAAATACATGTATATAAAATGGTTTTGTTTGCTTAATAAATGTAAGGTTACTTTTAAGAAAAAAGTTTAACACTTTTTATTAAAATGCTGGCATTAAATTGTTATTATAAAAGAATACGTATACATATATATGATGTGTCCCAAACTTATATTTCAAGAACAATCCTTCTTTTTTATAATTTTCTTAGCTTGATATAATGACTGTGCGTACGTGCGCCTCAAATTAAATTTTCAATGTTATTTTTGTCATAGATGTTTGTTTATGTTTTCATTTTAAATTGAAAATCATTAAATAAATACAATGTAATAGATGTATTTTTATTCAGACAGTTTTCTGTACTTTTTAGCACATGCGATTGTAGCTTCTAGGAATCCTGACATAAGCAGCAGTCCAGATGGATCAGATTCTTCCGAGTAAGTTTTGTTACCTGTCCATTGTACAAAACAATAAAGCTAGACTTACTGTTGTTTTATTATTTTTTTTCTTGACGTATTGTCAGATGTAGAACATTTCCAAAACAAAAAAATTGAAAGGAATGTTTGTTGTTCATTTCTTTCGTTTTGGTTTTACGTTGGTATATCAAACATACCAACCAACCATCATTGCATGTTGCGTTTTTTTGGAACATCTTTCAAAACTGTAAATAAAGCCCTTGGTGGCGTACCTTATAGACAGGCTATATACATACATAATAAATAAACACGTATATGTGTATCAAGTTTTAATTGGAATGTAATGCATGTAGTCTACCTTATCCAATCAAACGTGCACCAAATAAATCTGTGTAAAGAGAAATGTTTTAAATATACCCCTTCCCTATGTTTGTTCGTATTTGTCTTTGTGCTATTTTCCTCTTGTTAATGTTGATGTTGGTGTTTTTATTGTTTTAAAGAACAATAATGTAAGATTAAAATATTCAAAGAAAATATTACACCTGGATTAGCGGTATGAATTCGGCTAATAAACAATATTTTCTTTGTGAATTACTGTCATAGATACATAGGTGCGGCAGAGTAGTGTTGTTGTCAAGGTAAATACTAAATGGATAATACGAAAGTGGTACTTAAAATTAAGAAAGTATTTTTTAATGTCTGTTATTCAACTTACACTCAATTATTACTTGGCATTATTTAGAGGTTAATACTTGGTTGCTGCTCGCCATTATGCGATATTGGCCCGGAGATGTACATAATGGCCTGAGGATTCCTAACATATTGCCTTATATTAAGAAAACTTAAGAATACTCGTATTATATTGGCAAAAACTTTAGAAAGATGCAACACTTACACAACTTATGTAATGCAAGTCTAATTGAATATTAAAAGGTTATACAGTTGTTAATCTGAATTGTTTGTTTTTTATAATGGCCAAAACTTAGCGTCTGTTTTATCTAGTTTCAGTTTATTGCTGTAAACTGATATTCAACCTTGGAAGAAGCTTAATATATGTAACAAAGAGATTTGTCATAAGTCTATTGGTTTCGTTGTCTTCACCAATCATGTCATGCTGCAAGAGGTTAGACCATAAATATTTTTTGTTTGATGCAAAGAGTAAAGCGACTATTTTTACTGAATTCAAAATACATTTGATAAATATCATTGAAAATACTTTCTGTAATTTCATGCTAACATGTACCATCGGGAAAAGTTATACAATGGCATATGTCTATGAGAAGAAAACACACATTTCGTATATTGATGATATGATAGTTAGACATTTAAACAACAAAAATATGTCAACCCCTTCAGCATGTAAAAATCACACGTTAAATCGACACGCCGTTGCCATGGACTCCAATTATGTGTCTCTTGATTACCGGTCCAGTATGCTAACTACTACACCACAGCAGTCATTCCGTTTTCTTCTTAATGTAATTTTCCTATGTATAATTCATGACTTTCTTTCTTTAATTTATATATATACACCTCATATGATTTACTTTTATTTGTATGTTTCTATATAATGTCAACTCTAATATTACACTTTTGAAATATAGTGCGCCTAAGTGTAAGGCTGCGAAAATTTGTGCTCCTTAAATTTAATTTATTGTGCTTTAACGAATAAGTAGATTTTGCTGGAAAATTGCATAGTGTCTTGTTAGTATATTAGAAATATTGTGTGTGAATAATCCTTGGATATTTCATTTCCTAATTGGATTCTGATATCAAACAATTGGATATATATATAGTTAGAAGACAATATTTTGTAAATATACATGTATGGTGATATAAATTTTAAACCTGGATATAAAATAGACAACAATGTGCTTTATACGATACAATAGAGATCAATTGTTAAAACTAGCAAAACCACCCCGAAGGCAACATGGATTAAGTAATGATACCATTCAAACTTTATAGGATTATAATCTTTTTCAATATAGAAATTCTAAAGGTGGACAAAATAATAAAAGAAGAGAATGGGATACAAATCAAGGCATTCACCTGAATAATCTGAAAACACTTAATCAAATTATACCTACAGTTGAATCAAACAGTAAATTACAGGGGGTCGAACATAAAACCAGGAGAAAGTTGATTAAGGAAAATTTGATTCAAGTTAAACCAATTTCTAACACTACAGTCAGTGGTTCAAAATATATGTCAATATGTTTGATAAACTGCAGATCAGTTAAAAATAAAACGTTAGCCATCTATGACTTTATTATTTCCAATGACCTTGACATGTTGGTTATAACAGAGACCTGGCTTGGGAGTAAAGTAGACAAAGTGTGTCTTAGTGAACTTGTGCCTGACGGTTATAAAATCTCTCATGTTCCTAGATTAAAGAGAGAAGGTGGTGGTGTTGCCATTCTTCACAAGACCTCAATAAAAATCAAAATTGACTCGTCAAGTAAAGATGGAGACTTTGAACAATTCGAATTCATGGACTGTATCATTAGTGTTCGTGACTTTTCAACCCGCCTTGTTGTAATATATAGACCTCCTCCATCCAAAACGAATGGCCTAAGTACTTCAAAATTCTTGAACAATGAGTTTCCTGATTTTCTGTCGAAATATGCTGAAACTGACAAAACCACAGTGTTTCTAGGAGATACAAACTTTCACATTGATAAACTTGATAATCGTGATGCGCAGAATTTCTTATCCATCCTGAACACATTTGGATTAAAACAGTTAGTCAATGAACCGACACATGTAGCTGGACACATTTTAGATGTAGTCATAACAAGAGAAAATGAAAATGTAGTATCTGATATTAAAATAACTGATCCTGGATTTAAAACTTCAAACGGAAAAGTAACACGTGACCATTTTGCTATCCTAATGAAAGTTAATGTTTCGAAACCACCACCTATTCGTAAAACAGTCACATACAGAAAATCTCGTGATATAAACATTGAAGATTTCAAAGCAGATATTAGATCATCTGAACTTTTTGGTCCTAAACCAGACAGCATGGCAGAAGCATCAGAGAAATATCACACTGTCCTTTCATCTTTGTTAGACAAACATGCACCTGAGAAAACAAAAACAATTGTTCTCAGACCCCAATGCCCGTGGTTCAATCAAGAAATACATGACGAGAAACACATTAAACGTAAACTTGAAAGAAAATGGCAGGAATCAAAATTAACTGTAGATCATGAAATATACAGAAGTCAGTGCTTAGTTGTAAATGATGTAATTGAAAGATCTCGTGAAACATATTACAAAGACAAAATAAAATCGTGTGGTAATGATCAAAAACAAATTTTCAAAGTAACAAATCATCTCCTCGGAAACAAACCTGAAGTTAAGCTCCCATCACACACTTCTGCTAAAGAACTAGCTCAAGATTTTAGTGATTTCTTTGAAAACAAAATTGAAAAAATCAGATCTGACATAGCATCTAAAAATGAATGTAATATAACAAATGAATCTAATTCAACTCAAATACAAAAGCCTAAAGAAACATTCAGTGAATTTGAAGTTATTACAGAAGAGCAAGTTCTTAAGCTCATATCAAAGTCATCTACTAAATCATGTGAACTAGATCCGATACCGACTTGGCTCCTAAAAGAATGCAAACTTGAAGTATCACCATATCTAACGCACATGTTCAACTTATCATTTTACACCGTCGACGTACCTCCACGCAATAAGACTTTGATAATCAGACCACTATTAAAGAAAGACAATTTGGATCAAGAAATTATGAAAAACTTTAGACCAGTTGCTAATGAAACATATGACTCAAAACTTCTAGAATCTGCGGCTGACTGTCAGTTTGATATGTTTCTCAACACTAACAATCTACATGAACCAAATCAATCTGCATACAGGAAATTTCATTCCACAGAAACTGCACTTATCAAAGTGCAAAATGACATTCTCCAATCTCTTGACAAAGGCGAAGTTACAATATTAGTAATGCTCGATTTATCTGCTGCCTTTGACACGATTGACCACAACACTCTTCTTAATCGACTCGAATGTGACTTTGGTTTTACTGGAAAAGTGCTCGCTTGGTGTAGATCTTATCTCAGTGGTCGCTATCAGACTGTTTGTATTGATGGAGAACTATCTGACCCTGTGCATATGACATACAGTGTCCCTCAGGGCTCTGTATTAGGACCAAAATTTTACATACTTTTCACAAAACCTGTTGGCGAAATTTGTCGAAAACATGGTCTGCAATGTCACTTCTATGCTGACGATTCTCAAATATACATTTCTTTCAAACCGTTGGACAACACCAAAACTGAACTTGTACTTGATTCTGTCTCAAACTGCTTAAAAGAAATAACATTCTGGATGAACAGCAACATTCTCAAACTGAATTCAGACAAAACAGAACTTATAGTCTTTTCGTCGGGTAGCAATACAGACTCAGTGAAAAATATAACTGTCAATGTGGACCAAGTTGAAATCAAACAGTCATCAAGTGTAAGGAATTTGGGTGCATTCCTTGATTCAAGGGTTAATATGGAACATCATGTTAGCTCCGTGTGCAGATCTTCGTATGCCCAAATAAGTAAGATAGGACGTATTCGAAAATATATCAACGAAGAAGCTACAAAAACACTCGTTAACTCTCTCGTGACATCAAGACTGGATTATTGCAATGCTCTTCTATATGGTATACCTCAACAAACCATGAAAAAACTTCAACTTGTTCAAAATACTTCAGCCCGTGTGATTAAACGTACATCTAGGAAAGATCATATTACACCAGTGATGAAAGATCTTCATTGGCTGCCAATCGAATATAGAGTGAATTACAAGATCTTATTACATACTTTCAAGTCACTGAAACAACAATCTCCATCATATATGCAGGAAATGATTCAAGTTTATTCCACTTCCCGAAATCTGCGCTCTTCAAATGCACCTGTACGATTAGTGCAACCAAAACCTAAACTGAAATTTGGTGAAAGGAGTTTTTCGGCATCAGCTCCTAAGCTATGGAATTCACTACCAAGTCATCTAAAAAACTGTAACACAGTAGAAAGTTTCAAAAAACATCTTAAAACACACTACTTCAATTTAGCTTATGAAAAATAATCAGTGACTGTTATGAATGAATTTTATAAACAGTGAATACGAAGTATCTGTTATTTGAATATTAGTTTTATTAAAAAGTTTTATTTTTTTTTTTTTAAACAAACAATTTTTTAAATCAATTTAGTATTTCTATTGTTTTATAATGATGATTTAGCAAGATCTTATCTATTATTATATATTGAAGACAATTTTAATGTATGACAATAATATTGTAAAGTGAGTTTTAAGGATCTTTAAGTTATATTGTATTAATATGTAAAAATAATTCCATAATTTATACTTTTAATTAGTTAATGCAAAATATTTTTAATGTTCATAATCCTGTTCATTTATATTGTTTTAGACATATATGATTGATGTAAAGCGCCTTTGAACATTTTAATGAAAAGGGCGCTATATAAATGTGGTATTTATTATTTATTATTATATTATTATTGAAAATGAATAAAAAGAAAAACGGTATTCTTTGGTAACATGCATCTATCACCTTGCACGTTCATGTTAGCTTTCTGTTTCTGTTTTATTAAATTGAACTTTGTAATGCATTTGAAATATTTGGAAAATGCAATTTGTAAACTAGAAGAACCTGAAAAATATATAATGACTGAAAGCATTTTTAATGTAACATTCTGTAACACCTATAACATTGTTAAATTAAAGATATTTTAACACAAGCCCTTCCCTTGCACCAAGTAATAAGTTAATACTTTACGTTTATATTATAACATCCTTCAAATTCGTCATCAACTATGCAAAATTATTTGTAGTTCATGAAACGTATATTGCATAGTTTATTAAATATACTGGGAACACATTTATATCACGTTGATTTTTTAAAAAAAAATATAAAGTCTTACTTTTACAAATTATGATATCGATCCAGGAAATGCTCATAACATTGAATAGTATTAAATTAAGATGAAGTCATTCAGCCTTTCAAACGTACTCTAATTCTATTTTTTTTAGAGAAAATCATGAGCCAAAAGCCGAGGCATTATGTGGATCTTGCTATAAATACAAGGTGAGTTAATAGCTTCATGTTTTGTTATCGTTGTTGTTTATTTTTTCTTTTCTTTTTTAAAGTGTTCTATCATAATGAGGCGTTAGATCCGTTTTTTTACATCATTGATTTTTGTGAAGGTTGTTTTCATATTTTGTGAAAAAGGTAATACGTACTTGTTTGTGTTTCAGAAAACTATTGAAAGTTTGCAGTTGGAAAATGACAACATCCTGAAAGAAAATGAAAGACTTAAAAAGCAAAACCGTGATTTGAGAAACCAAAATGCTGAAATAATGGAAAGGTAACCTTATTTTGTGGATACGTCTTAATCTTAAAATTAAGAATTCATTTCTTTGTTTAGAGTTTCAATTAAAGATTTGATAGAACGTTCAATATGACACTTTCATAAAGAAGTTTCCCAAGTAAATATTCAATAGTTCAACAGTTTTAAAACATTTTAATTGTAAGCCTATTTTTTCTGATGCAAACAAAGATCTGAGGAACTAACGTGCTCAATGGCAAGTGTTTTGGAGACCTCGGGAGCTCTTGAAAACGTCAACGATGAATACTCTAATACCAAATTAGCAAAGTTGTTTGAAAAGCTTTATGACAATCAATGGGTAAAACTATCTGAATGGTTGGAAGAGAACAATTCCGATCTATCAGAATTAGAGAGAGTAAAAGCTCTTTCGACTCTGATGAAGGTATTTCATACAACTTTTAATACAATAAGTATATAATTGTTCTTGCTTTTAAAATCAAATGTTAGAAAAAAAAGGTTTTCTTAGAAAAAAAATTACCAACAATGGATATTTATGTAAAATAAAACTCTTTGAAGATTTTTTTTATACTGCTAAATTTTCATTCATTTTATGCAAAACAATCATCAGTTCATCTCATAATTTCGCTATTTGAGCATTTTAAATAGTTCACACCTGAATGTTAGTTAATTTTTCGGTTGCACAAAAATGAATTATCTGGGACTGCCCAACATTATATATCGTAAGAAAAGGAACTTGCACATGCTGCCATTTTGTTTTGCTAATCATTGTGAATGGGGGGTATATTTTGTCTGTAATAAATAATGTAAATAAGTCTCAGATTTATGTTATTTTCTGGATTAGCACATACCTGATCATATTTAATTCTGCAGGATGCCTATGAAGAATGTTTGAAACTAGCGGACGATCAAATACGAAGGTTTCTTTTTCTGGAAAGTGGTGAAGAGCTTCCATCGCCAAACGATGTAGGTTGTCTTTTTCCTCACTCACTCCTGGACTTCAGATTGTCTCTGTATTACAAGAAAACACCATATACTTCGTTATCAATATCGTTTCCATTTCAACTTTGTTTAAAATAAAATTATCTACACCTTGTCCTTGTTAAAATCCTTTACAAAACTCTTCTTCTTTCCTGTCAGTGACCCAGTTTCTATGGCCAATAAGTTCAAGTAACTTTTATGTCCATGATGTCGCAAATGTGTGTGGTTTTGTCTTCAAAAAATGAGATTATGTTCCGTCCAAATTCAATTCTGTTTTCAAAATCAGCTGGAATACCTGGTGTTTTTTTTATCTCCTATTGAATTTCATTTTTTAGTAAGATCAATTAACTAGAACATCTTTTTTGAATATAGATATTCAGGGTTATTATTATGGAAGGTAGGGTTTCTGGCGCATTTCAGAGAACACGTAAATTTAGCCCGCAGTCGTTGCTCTAGTTCCAATTGATTTATGACAATAGGTTACCTTTATGTCACATATTTGATTAAGTTATTTCGTGTTTCATTATTCTTATTTCAGTAACTATTTGGCATAGGAGACGATTACTTTTTAAAATTATTATCTGATGTTTAGCATTTCAAAAATATTTAACAGATTGCAACTTAAGCAAATTATATTGATAAGTTGAGACACTAAGTAACGATCAATACATTGTTTTAATCCTTTTCTTTTTCTTCTCGCCAGGAGGTTACATTATTTAAAATTAGAAGAGCCAATGGCCGGATGGACAACATTAGAAAATCAGTTATTAAGGTAAATCCAATATTACCAATGTGTTAATCTTTATAATAGTCTGTACAATCTCATCTTGCATTGCAACATTTTCACTTTACTTTCCTGAATTACAGTTAATGAGAATTTTAGATTAAATATGACTGCTAAATATATGACTGCCAAAATATTTTCTTACATAACATTATTCTGATGTTAAATGTTAAACTACTTAAACTATTTTTAAATGAACAAAATAGGAGATGTTCATGCATGTTGAATTCGATTATGTTAATAGTGATATAAAAATTCAATAAGTTTATGTCGAAAACTTTGATTATTTTATTTTCATTCCGTTTCAGAAAATATTATGTAGTGTGCTTAATGAGGAGAAAACTCACTTGTTGTTGCCAGTAGAAAACAAGAAAGAAGCAGAACAGTTATTAAAGGAATTCTTTCATGAATATATAGATATTTGTTGGTTAATGCTGATATCTAATCCTAGATTACTGCTTGAGTTTAAAGTAATTGGCAAGGCATATAACGGTGTCATAAAAGAACATTTTAAACAGTATTCTACACAAGAAAGTGTGGAAAGTTCTAACATTGAAAAGGACTGTATATACGAAGTGGTTTGGCCATGCGTTATTCTAGAGGATAGATCTGGAGTTTTTACCAAAGGTGATGTAATAACTGTTGATGTTTGCACAATGTCGGACGGAGACTAACATTTGAAAATAAATAGATTGACAGGGTTGCGTTGTAAAAAAGTCAGACAGTAAATTGCTCATTGGCGGATTTGATTAATTTGTTTGATCTGTTAGTTTACCGATAACATTTTGGCTCTTGTTGTCATTTTTAGTCTTATTGACTTCAATCCTCAATAATGTTGCTATGTCATGTCAATTAAAACTAAAGGTTTTATAGTAAAATACTAGTAGATATTTGATAATTACATACTTAAAAAAGGCATATACTACAGTATGCGTATAGTATGACATCGTTACACAATTCCGATTATAATTCGATCGAAATGAAAAAAAAAACAAAGCAAATTGTATTAAGATGTTTTCTATATTAATTTGCATAACGCTGTATTATGTAAGTCTGAAATAAAATGTATGTTGTAGATTTGTTATCTGGTTTTGCTAAATAATTGATCAACGCGATAATAACCGATTAAATGAGCAAGGTAGCACATATCAATACAAAATAATAGTTGTTAATTTCATTTCATATCAGCGAGCACTAATGAATTAAAGGTACAAATGTATCACAATTATTGTTGTCTTTTCAATGTATCCATATTTAGGGGCATCCATGACAGGATGGTTAAGGTCATTGACTTCAAATCACTTGCTTTTCACCGCTGTAGGCTCGAATATCACAAGGAATTGGATGTTTTCACATGAGGAAGCTATTCAGCTAGCTAAGGAAATGTCGGTGGTTCTACTCAAGTGCCTGTTCGTGCCGGAAATAATAATTCAACGACAAGCACATAAGTGTTCCTCCTATAAAGTCGCCATGTGACATTTACTTTGTTAATGAGACGTTAACCCTAACCTAAAATACAGTGTGCATGTATCAATATATAAATCAGAACAAACAGAAGTCGAAAAAAAATTTAAAACTGACAGGCAATACAGGTGATACAGACAATTGAAGAAACACAGGGAGGCACCGCCATTGTCTAGCAGAATTTATGTAGTTTAAGGATGTCAGCTACATGGCGTTAACGATTAGTAAATACAGTACAAGTGATGTAAAGTACTTGAATATGATGGGTTTGAGTTTAGAAATCGTTAAACAGAAAAAAGCGTTTTGTTACTTCTAAGTCGAAAATTATTTAATTCAACCCAGGGGTCGTAAGCTTGACTCCTTCAAACCGCACGGCGATCTTACTTCTCATGACACAGGAGGAGCTTTTTTAGCATTGTATCACTTTCTGATTGTATCACCATCAGATCAAAATAGGTTAACAGAACGCAACGCAAGTACATTTAAAATTCTATGCATAGCTCATAATGTTTGCATATATGTTTTACATTAAATATCAAGAATCAAAATAACTTAAAATAATTGGATATTGTGAGCACACTATGGCATTGTAGGAGCTGCAATAATCATAAGCAATTAAGTTAGTTCATCTGCATTTTGTGTGTGAGTAAGCAACTACTGTAAAATCTGCATATCTATCTTTACTATTATAATTTATATCAACTTATAAAATTAGTCGTGTTTTGTGGTAGAAAATAAGCAACAATATATCATAATTATATCATGAGTAGAAATATATTGGAAGACTTCTGCTCTTAAAAAATATCACGAGTTTTGACCAGAAAAAAAACTAGTACAACAGTGTAAATTTAGTACATGTTTATTGAAAAACGTTGAAGACTAATGAATATAAACAAATTTTATCAACATGTATATTTCATATTCCCAGAAAACACAAATGTGAGTTCGACTTATTCCATCATGGTCCAGGAACGCATACTGGTATTGACTGATTCTACTAAGTCTTACAGAAACATTGGCAAATTATGTAAACAATAAACGTTTTAATCATAACAGTAAGATGTTGTTACAAATTAAGTAAATGATACATTTATTGGTGCCTTTACCTTGAACTGTTTCATGTTGGCCGAATCTTTATTTTTTTGTGGAAGTTTATTCAACATAGCACAACCATTGAAAATCATTTCACTTTGGATGTTCTGAAAGCCAAGATTTGACAATTCATTCGTGTAAAAAGGGGCATAACCTAAATGTATTTTAAAAACAGGAGTAAGAGTTATTTGTTCAATCTTAATCGGTAATCAATTTAATAAACTATTAATTAATGTGATGTCTTTGATCAAGTTTGAGAAAAAAAAACGACAAACTTGTCAGCGCTTTATGGTGAACTTGGTCGTTATTCGTTACATATTACTAGAAACTTAGCATGATAAGGTATTGGTCACAAATACTTAAACGATGCGTCCCTTGTAAATCAAACGTATCTGATTCTTTAAATAGAGAAAACAAGAATTCCTTAAGAAAGTCCATAACGACAAAATTGAAAATTTTGCAGGCTCGGTTTGATTGGGCCTGTTCATGGACGGTACTGGAAAGTGCAAGATACCGTCTACGCCACCAGGCACCGACTTAAGCAGAATTCAACATTTAAACATGGTGATGGTGAAATTTTGAATTTAGAAACATTCGCAAGTTTGTTCATACGGCGCTTATCATGGAACCCTTTAATTGGACTCATGAGTGCCATTCCATGAAAAGCGGCGCATGGCCCTTTTCATACATTTGGGACAATCGATATAAATATACCATATTATACATGTACTATTAAACAAAGATTAGTTGACACTTTTCTACTAAGCTGATATGCATATATTACTAATTTACCAATATAACAAACATACTGCATATTTAAACATTCTTTTGAAATTGAAACGTATTTAGACTATGTCCAAGCTGCTTTTACTAGATTTCGGACTTCCTCCCATAATTTATTTATAGAAACTGATAGGCCTAGAGAACAGCGAAATAACAGAGTGAAAAGCACTTTCTCCTTGTGTGTACCCACTATCGAAATCTTTAAACCATACTACTTCCATTGGCCGCCGACTATAAATAAACTAGATAGTCTTTTGTTGAAAACTGTATGTGCCAAACAATCAATACAATACAATCTCAATACAAAAAGTAAATAACTTAATAATAAGTTATTTCCTATCAAAAATTCTATTAAATAAACTTATAGAATCAATGCAAGCACATTGTGTATCTAAACTCGTAAGAGGAGAGGATGAAGTCGAAGTGAGCTGGAGAAGGAAAGTGCGCGGGAATTGGAAGAAAACCAATGTAAAACTCTCTCAAATCTCTTTCATACAATTATGTTGTACACACGATTGGACATACAAAAACAGTTCACAAAATTGCACGACATACATAGTGAAATTGTTGCGGCCGTTTCCGTGAATTTCCGCTAATAAGCGTACGTTACAGAACCATCCGAAACAATACAATAGCAGACGATAACAGACGCCACGGAGACAAACGACAATCGACCTATGCGCGGACATTAAGGATATTTTTCCCACGACTAAATGACGAACAGTGCACGGCAAAATGAACAATTAACATAATGAATAAATCGACCTAAGATTGATGAACAATTATGACCTGTGAGCTCTTCTTTATCATAATGACCCACTAACTTTGTTAATATACTGACAATGTTTGCAATATTAAACTTATCTGAACAATCTTTTTATTATATTTTTATGCTAACATAAGCGTTTTCAGATCATCGGTAATCCAAACCGATTTCGAAAGTACATTCAAAACGAAAGTAGAATTCCTGTATTAATGAAGATCATGTGACCGTATTGAGATGCATCATAGGGATAATAACGATACTTTAAATAATTTCATCGAAACCAACTTTTCACTATATCCTTTACATATGGCTGACAAAGGTAATGCATTTATTAATTGATTTAGGTAAACTACATTAAATAGTGTCATCGGGCGTTTAATCATGTCGTTTAAGCTTATTCCTAAAAATAATGTTAAAATGTAGGTGTAAATGTATACATATCAATGTCGATTGTAATAGCAAGTGTTACATATTACCAATTTAACTGTTGAAATACGTGTTCGTCTGTAGATGCACGCATGACAGAATTCTGTGAATAGTCGTTCATTTTGTTAAGAATAGAGTTTAGTGGTAATGTATTTTATCTTTGATCTAAAGTCAATGTCAAGCTGCTTTCACTGAGTCCAACAGTAAATGAAATGGATCTAGTTTCGATTTTAAAATGGTTGGGGTTGAGTTACGTCTCTTAGTATGTCCAATAACAAGGAAACGATGGTTGCTTATGATATTTTGAGAGTCATTTCCAGTCCACCAAGATTAAGAATATTGAAGTGTAACTTTTGTAGGTCTTGTTTTGGTAAATTGTCCATACACGACCAGGCTGTTCTTTTGAAAATCAGTTTATGTTCCAATTCAGTTGAAATTCAAATTAAGTGAACGATAGCAATGATAACTTGGCAGTGCTTAAATTCCAAAATGCAAAAAAGTGTGGTAAAATGTTGTTGCCATTTATTTCTACATTATAACGGTTAAGCGTAATTTTGCTGTTAACTGTTATAATTTATTACATATACTACTTGTTTTTTGTTGTTGTTTTGTTTGTTTGTTTGTTTGTTTGTTGTTGTTGTTTTTTTTTATCTTTTGATCTGTCTTTTTTTCATCTTAATTGAATGAAGTTGTTATTATTCTATATCAAACTAAATATTATAACCTTTAAAGTCATAAAATTATTTAGTGGTGTGGAACATCCATCTTTTATTATACTTAAGTTAAGAAATAATATATCTAGCTGTTATGAATGTCAAGATGTCATTAAATTGCATACTTTCCTCTCTTCCTCTCTTTTTCTTCAATTCTTCATCATTGTCATGTACTTAGTAGGCTAATTTCTTAAAACCAATTAACTGTTATATTATATTTAACTCTGCTCTTTGTAGTCAACGTATGAAACATAATCTCTGCATTTCAACATTTTCGGAATCTGAAAGATATTTCAAAATTATGCATTATTCTGTTGAATATTTCTTTTAATGCTGAATTCAGTCACAGTTCCATGGAAAAAGGTGATAGTATCCAATGTCACTTATTAATGGTTCAATCCAAATGAACGTGTACCATTGTAATTTTTCAGTGTTATAATGTTGTTTTTTTTAACATTTAATTGGATATATTTTCATTTAAGAGCATAAAGGTATGGAAGAATCTACAGACAAAGTTGAAGGTAAGGATGAAGATAAAGCTGAAGTGACCGTTGATGTAACGAACAATGAGGTAAAATTCAAGAACGCTCCTATGGGAACTGATGTGTAAGTTAATGGTACAGTTATTTTGAACTTATTTATATCTAATAGTAAATGCTATACGAATTTCAGGTCTCAAATACATGAATTGTACAATATTTCGTGTATATGAATTGCAGTTTTCTTACGTCAATTAAGATTCTGATCAAACTGATTATAATATACTTATTAAAGTACGTTTGTGAGCCAGAACAGAACTTTTTGCCTTGTTGCCTAGGCTCTTTGATGTTTTTCCTTGTAGGTTTTCATTTTAATCTTTATAATACTAATTTGACTTTTTTTCAATAAATTAGAATTAATGTACCTTGGAAATTAACATAATTATCACAAAAACATATTCATAGACTTCTGTTTTTATTTGGGGTGATAATCATTAGTTTGATTTTGCTTACTGTTACTGACACTTACTTTTTAGTGATACAGGGAAAGAAGTGTGTCACAACTGTGCTAGGTCACAGGTTAGTTAAAAGTTACATTGTCTAAAGACATTATGTCTTAATAGAAATAATTGTGTCATTCTGTATATTACTAGTATTATTTATCTTCTATAATAATGAGTTCCATGGCAAAAATTGCAAATCTGAAAGAATAGGTGAAGATAAAATAAAATGCTCTTTATAAATTGACCTGCCATTCATATCGTTTTCAATATTCAATACAACTATTTCCAGCTGTTCACAATTTCACATGTACTATATTGGTTATAATAAAATCAGTATTCATGAAATGATGAATATAGTCTATGATTCAACTCATTTTAGGCTGTTGAGAAAAATAATTATAATCAACATGAATATACATTACCTATTTACTTCAGGAAAGCATGGCAAGAGTTATGAACGAGACCTTAGATGAATCGCGCAAGCTTGAAAGCAAAATAAAAGAATTAACTGCTCAGAAGAAACTTGCAGAAGAAAAATATATTCAGATACAGCAAATGTTAGTACAATACCCGTAATGTTTGAAGTAAATAACATTATAACAGGCATTTAAAAAAAAAAAAGATTAAGATTTCGTTTTTCTAGACTGTCAAGAAATAAGTAAAACAAGTTCATGTGTCTAAAAGTCTTTATCTTAAATGCATTTTTGATTAATTAAATTTGTTTAATATTATCCATGTTCAATATGACTCCACTACCTTAACTACATGTGCATGTTAATACCAGCTTGTTAACAATCCACACATTATATATAAATGGAATAAATGACATATGCTATCATGACATATTTCATATCAAATGACTTCTTCCAGCATGGAATTTAATTAGTAATTACTTTGTCTTCGAAAACACCATGAATTTGATTGACCACATTATGTAACATAAGTATATCTGATTATTTTTAACCGTTGATACAGTTCGCTACTGTAAAGGTAGTCCTATTGAAACTTTTTAGCAAATCCGTATGCAACACGGATTATACAGTACTGTACTTTCCTGAAGGTTACCTCGGAAACAAGAAACGGATAACTATATTACTGTTAAAATACGGTTTTAGCCATGGTCAGGCGATAAACCGCTAGCCCAAAAACGAAAACAACTTTTTGTATGGATTTAGTAGCATATCGACTTATAAATTCGCCTAAATAGTTAGTTGTTGAGTCTCAAGAACTAATTAATGTTCAATGTAATTCATCAAGTTAAAAGTATAACTTGAATCATACTTGTAATTTATAGTTTATATTGTTGGTTCCATGCGTTCCAAGATTAATGCAAACAAATGTTTTGAGAGTATGTTATATTCGATCTCAAAATTGAGTATTAATGCATGCAAAGATTGAGATATCCTTTTATTTGTTTCGTTACACATGTAAGAACTTAATATGAGTATCCTATTTCTTTCCAAAGGTCTGATGAAATTACAGCAAGTATGGCGGATGTGTTCAACAATAAATTAGAGCTAGAAAATCTTAATGATAAATTTTCTAACACTAAAGTGGCAAAGCGTTTTGAAAGTTTGTACAACAGCGACAATAAATGGCCGTCACTAACAGAATGGTTATTGGAAACTATCGAGGGAATCGATGAACTAAGCATGATCAAACACTTGTCATCACTTATGAAAGTAAAATATAAATTTATTCCCAATTTTTTATATTCAGTATGAAAATCAAGTTCTTCTCCTTAATTCAAAATTAAAATGATTCATTCGTTTAATATACACATTTCTGAGTTTGACCCGTTATAAATGTAATTGTATATTGTTAAAAGATTTTGAGGGTCCCATCCATGTTCTATGAAACAAAATTGACATGATCTACAATTAAAAAAATATATTATACGTATTTTTTGGTCATGGGTCACATCTCAGTAATGATCATTTTAAGTTTTTAAATTTGTTTTTAGTTTGAAAAAGAGTAGAACAAATTAATCTTTGGAATGTCTTGACGTTAAAACATGGTCTTGCTACTGAATATATGAGTGAACATTTATAGGCCCCAAACACTGTACATTCATACAGACTATAAGTACTATAATACAAGGTCAAGTGTACGTGAGTGCTATAATTTACTCACAGTCAATGGTTGTGGTGAAAAATCATTTGCGTAATTATAATGGATGTGTCCTGTGGAGCAAACAACCATCTTCTATTATGAATGAAACTAAGTTATATAATATCTAACAATTTAAAGGTCGTTTTGGACTGTGATATTTATTCCCTGCATCTGTGTCAAAACCATCAGTAATTGTTAAAGGGCCAAAATGGAAATAAGAGATTTAGTGCTATCCTTAGCATGGGTTTAATTTCTACATGGTTATTGTTTAAACGTATATTAGACGTGTTTTACCATGTTATTGCATTATTATGCTGGAATAATTTTATCTATATTTTCTTTTGTTTGATATTACTATGAAGTAAAAACAACTTTATTGTTCTAATGTGTGTCATTTTGCAGAAAGCCTATGAAACATGTATCAAAATTTCTGACAATGAAATAAGAGTTTTTCTTGCTCTTGAAGATGACGAACCACTTCCGTCATCGCGAGAGGTATGTATCACCTACTTTCCTAAATTTGCAATGTTAACTTGCCTATTGTCATTTCTTTTATCATTTCTTTTTTTATTTAATTTTAATGTTTAGTTAATTGCAAACATAGGACAAAGTCCGTAGAGCATTTGTGAATTAGACAGTATGCCTTGATTTCTTAGTTTTATCATCCATGTTTAACAGGGAGGTAGGATGTTTCATTTCCAATTTCTAGTTCTATATTATTATAGTTCGAACTATGTCACAATTGGTAAGAGTGAATCATGTTGATGAACCTTTTCCAAAGAAACAAATTATGTTTGTAAGATATATTGCTATAATAAGATTTTTGTTACATGAATGAAGTTTTTAAAACTTATTATTTGCAAAACAATAAGTGGCTAAACACAGAGATGGTGAAAAATGAATCTATTTATTTTCATTAGAATCATTTACTTTAAGCATTGTTTATGGTTTCCAAAAATATCTTATTCCTAACATGACCTGAATATATTTGTCATTACATATATTTATGTTTTAGAACCCTCTTCTGTATAAAGTTAAAAGAAACCATGGACGTACAGAAAAACGAAGAAATGCTATCAAAAAGGTAGTGCATTTTTTTTTGTAACATTACTACATGTATTTATAATTATTAGTATTATTTATCCTGTGTTAGATAAAAAGCATATGCCATAGACCGTGGAGCATTTATGGCAAAAAATCGAAAGTGAAGTAATTTAATAGTTACGTTTTAATTTTCCATATTCGTATTGTTTCCTTCTTTTCAGAGTGTTTGGGAAATTGTATCAAAAGAAGACAGCATGTGTGTATTACTCCACGAAAAACAGAGTGAAACAATGGAGGAGGGCGAAGCCAAACTTAAAGATTTCTTTAACGAATTCATAGATATCTGCTGGCTATCAGCAATTTCTCAACCGAAACTCATCCTGAATTTTAATGTCATCGACGAACTGTACGAAGGAAGTATACGTGACCGATTTACGCAATACGCTTGCCAAGATACCGTAAAAGACATGTCAAGGGTCAAAAACACTATAATCGAGGTTGTGTGGCCAAGCGTTGAGCTAGAAGATGGGTCAGGAATTCATACTAAAGGCGATGTTATTGTAGTCGAAGAGGGGACAGATGAGATGAATACGAAAGGGAAAGAAACAAATCAGAATGAGCAAGCAAAGGAAATGAGTCAGAAAAATATAGATAAGAAGGGAACAAGTGAAAAACGAGCAATTCGAGATAAGACAAATGAGAAAGGAGCTAGTGGGGCAAAAGTGGAGGGAACATGTCAGAAACAAGCTAATGAACTCGGTACAAATGGGGAGGAAACTTGTGAGCAGGTAACTAATGAAGGTGAGGCAATTGGGGAAGAAACATGCAAGAAGGAAACTAGTGAGGAGGTTACAGATGAGGAGGGAACGTCTGTGAAAGGACCTAACGAAGATGGGGAAAATGGTGAAAATATATGCGAGAAAGGAACTATTGAAGATGGGGCAAATAGGGAAATAACATGCGGGAATGGAATTTGTGAGAAGGGTACAAAAAAAGATGGAACTTGTGAGAAAGAAACTAATGACGAAGGGACAAATGGGAAGGCAACTTGTGAAAGGAACTAGTGATGAGGTGAACGTACAAGAAAGGAGTTAATAAAGAGGGTTAAGATTGGGGACATATATTGTCGAACTGTTATGTATGATTTAAAGATTTGGTTTTTTATGTTCGTTCGTTTGTTTGTTTGTTTGTTTGTTCGTTCGTTCGTTCGTTCGTTCGTTCGTTCGTTCGTTTGTTATATCCAATTTATAAATAAGGCTGAAAGATGATATTAAAGTGTTGTCATTGTTGTTGCTGGTGTTGTGGTTGATGTGGTTTTGATATTAATAATAACTTTCAACTTATATTTCAAGCTAATTAACTAATTATTTTTCGAATCTTTAAAAACATAAATATCTGCATGATAATTAAAAATTGATCAACGCGTTGCTTTTTTAAAATATTGATAAACGATTTGCCCTTTTTGAACACTGAATTAACTCAAATTGATAAACACTATTTTCATATTTTCAATATCAGTAAATAATTACTGTAACCCAGTTTTGTGCACATGAAAACGAGAGCTAATGCAATAAAATAAAATGATGTTTGAAAATGAGTTATGCAGGTTATTTTGTTTTTACATTGTAAAAAATTAATTGTTTGCCATTAACTAGATTAAATTCATGTGTTAAACTATATATAATAAAACAAACAAAGAAAACCATGTAGTTAGTTTATTAGTTTATTTACCTTTTAAACATACATTAAACTAATACATATAAGTGTTTTCAACAGTGCAAGTTATCATAATACCTTCAATTATTTAATACTGATACTATACATGTATTTATGTCTATTGCACGCGGCATTTCCAGATTCTTTATAAAACAAAATTCCCAAAGAAGTAGTGAATTATCGATGGGTTCAGTTGTTACTTGGGTTGGATTAGCGCTCCTTTTCACTGTACGCATACATATCGGTACCATCTTTGCGAGTTCTACTGAAAAGGTTACCTCTTTGCACATGTACAGGTCATTCTCTGCTTAAGACATTTTCTTATTCATTTAAAACAACATTTGATTATACTCAATATGATCATGATAAATCATTGTTTCATGAAATTCAGTCACAACTGCTGATTGCTATGGCATGAATTATCATGTATTATATAGCAATCATTCGATAAATGTTAAAAGTTATGAAATTAAACATTTTAAAACTTATGTTAGCTTGTGCAGCTTTAGATATTATATGCTCATCTTTGGGTATTTTTTTTCATTGCAGAAATTTATTGAACTCTATAATTCCTACTGAATATGTCTATTTTGAATAAGAGAATGCATTAACTATGTTTGAAAAGTTTATTTCCTGGTAAAGTTAATTAAGACTTCCTTAGAAACAGCCAGGTATTCAAACTGTGCTTAACTATTGGGTGCAGTGACGAAAAGCGGTAAAATATCTTCTCTGTGTACTCACGGGGGTGGAACTGCCACACGAGGGATGGAGATCTTTTAGAGTATTAATCATTTAAGCTGGAGAATTTGTTAAAGAATCATATTGCCTTTACATTTAGTTTAAACATATTCTATTGCATCAAAAATATGTCAAATATTATACTTTACATTCTTAGGGAAATTAAAAATTCAAAAACTATTCATCTGAAAATCAGATATTATTTGCTGACAATTTTCGACAAAAAAACGAGACTTTATTTTGTAATGTGGAAATCGTTAAACTAGACGTTAATTGTTCATGAAATATAAAAATGCAAGAATGACAATGGTGGAATTGTTGGAAATTTTACATTACTACATTATATAATGTAAAGTTTTCAGCAATACGGATAAAACAGTGGGTAAAAAAGAATGAATATATTTATATATTTCTTTTTCACTTGTTTGTTTGTATCTTTTGAAAAAGATCTGTTTAAGAATAAGACTGTTAAGAGACAGTTAAGAGAATTATATCATTTACATCGATCTGTAACACACACAATAGCGATATCGTGTGTATGTTATTTAGTTATTTTAAGTTTATCATTTAATCAATATACAAATGAGTTTATGATAGGTTTAAACTGCATATACCTTGATTAATATATAACAAAACGAAAATAAAACTAGAAAACATATACATACTGTAAATAAGCGTATAGATATCTGCACTTATACTTAATAATTGATCACGTGCCAGTTCTAATGACTCAGTAACTGCACGTTTCTGATTAAGTTATAATGTGTGGCTTTTAAGAGTATACTAATAAAGTAATGGTTTTTGCCATTTAGTGTTTCGTGTTTTATTTATTACTTTCTGTCATATGATAGAGGCATAATACTTAATCTCTGGTATACATGTGTAAAATGTTTATATCTTTTCGAATGCGAATATTTATGTCAGAACATGGATTAAAGTAACATCTTAATTAACAAGAAACTAGTTATGTTATGCGCAGCAGGTAAGCTGTTAATCTATAAAACCTTCTTTTAAAGACATATTAGTATTACAGTTTTGCTTACAAATAAACGAAAGAGGAAAAAACGTAAAGGGAAAAAATTTATACAATACACTGTTATTCGCTCTGTTTATCTTTCAAAGGATCGTTCAGAAAATTATTATATAAATGTTTTAGAAACTATAGATAGTTTTTAAACTGATTAACCAAAGAAATACTAACGGGATACCTTTTAAAGAAAGAAATACCGGTATATACCTATGCATATGTATGCAAATTAATAAACGACAATTACATGCTTAAATAATTTTTACAATTGACTATGTCTTGACTATAATGTACATTGTATTTGTTACACTAAAATGTTGATATCTTTTGTGATTCCATATCAAGCGTTGGACAAGCAAATACATTCCGGTCAGCCATATGCAGTTAAACCCATGAAGGAATTGTAAGTGATTTTATACATGTATATATATTTAGAACGTTATTTACACATGTACATTTTTCTGCAATCACTGAAAGTAAAGTCAAGCTTAATATGTTAAAATGTTAGTTAAAACTTAGCACATAATTATTTTCATGAAGCAAATCTAATAATTGAGTTTACAAAATGAAATTTATGGAAATGGATATGAGTTGATCTAAGCGACAGAAGTATGTTACATGGTCTAATTCTTGAACGAAACAATAGAATACATAGAATTAACCATCATCAATGTTATGTTAACCACACACTTGATAGAGATCTTAAATGTAGACAATGGCTATATAACATGTACTCGTAGGTAGTTTTGGTTTGATCTTCCTCGTTCATATTTCTCGTGTTACTCAGGAGGACAATAATTTTGAAACGTGTCCTTAATATTGTTAGACGAAACTATTAATTTCTTAAAGTGGATAATTCTTTATCAAGTAACAACGGTTATTAGACGAAACTATTAATTTCTTAAAGTGGATAATTCTTTATCAAGTAACAACGGGTTAAACATTTTTGTCTAGTGATCTTCCTCTATACTTATGGATAAAAACAAAAATGCGTTTGTTTTCACTTTAAGAGACAAGCAAAATAAAGAGCGAGAATGCAAAGGCTGTGCCAACCTAAAGGTAATATATCTTATTTCTTTTTCTTTTTTTTTAAATATTTTTTTTACTTAAATCTAAATTCTGAATGTCAATTGGATAACAAATATTTCCGGGGTTTTGTTCTTTTTAATCTGTCGTTTATTTCCCTTACTTCCTTAACTATTCTTTTTGTTCTTTTTCTTGATATTTCGCAATAATTATCTTCCTACCATGATTAAAATCTTTGCTCTTCTCTGATATATACAAAAAAATTCTTAATATATTTACAAAAACATTATCAACTGTTGTCAAAATTATCATAATTTACGTACAATACTTCTCATTACAAAACTTGTATTTAATATATAATTATCAGAAATCACTGGAGTCGATGGATATAGATCAGAATGCGCTGGTACAAACCACCAAAAAATTGGGAGAGGAAATTAGACAATGGGAAAGAAAGTATACCACCCTGGAGAAACGGTAATCATCAGTATATAAGACCTGAATTGACTATATATTTCAAAAGTTTGGCTGTTGTTTGATTGACCAACAGTTGATATTAAAATGCCTAAAATATGAAAAGACTTCCCACTCTTTTTATTAATGGAACGTTACGTGTGATGGATATTTACAGAAATTTCCTTGGGCCACGTGAGGCTTTTAGCGTTCATGCGAAATAAATTATAAAAATTTAAAGTACTTCTTGCAACATGTAAACTTATTTTGATTGTAAGCTATTCACTGGATTGGCATAACTTCACTTTAATAAATCCAGTCAATAAAAACAGAAACATAAAAATGTAGATTATATCGACTTCTATGAGCTGAGATGGCTCATTATAAATATCTTTTGCATTTTGAAATATTTGTTCGTCGATACATTTTTGACAAATAACAAAGATATTATTTCTTAAGTATTGATCATTTCGTTGACTTATATAACACTATAACACTGCATTATGCTCAAATGAAATATCCTGGATGATTAGAAAAATTGAAATCCATTAATGAGAAGTAACGTCGTTTAGGTGATCCGATTTTGAAAACCGCGTGTTGGTATAGGCCCAGCTGGAAATACCCATACTTTACGTTCTTGTCAAAAATTACCTCCAATTCCGTTACACCACAGGTCCAATGACATTACAGCAAAAATGGCAGGTGTGTTAGAAGTGAGTGGTAATTTAGAGAATATAAACGACCAGTACTCAAATACTAAACTAGCCAAGAGATTTGAGGACTTGTATGGCAACCAATGGGCGGATCTTTCAGAATGGCTTCAAGAAAACATAGAACATGTCACTGAACTTGACAGGATTAAAACACTCACCTGTCTAATGAAGGTAAATAGATAGATAAATTCTAGCATTGACTTAATAATTATGTTGCAGTATAAAATTGAAACAGAAAAAGAATGTTATTTAATTTTTATTGTTTTTGTGGGTTACAGAAAAAAATCACCATATTTTAAATCCGAAGTCCGTAAGCCTTACTGTAATAATTAACTTATCTTATATTGCTATCCTTGGTGCATACTGTTTTGCCACTTCAGTTTGTCAGTCCGTCGCATTATAGTCATGGCTTTTTCTCAAAAGCTACGTATCCTTAAAAAAGAGCATCACTGCCAAGATGGGTTACATGGAAGGGGTTTCTATTCTTTCACTTTTGACATTAAATAATAACCTTTCCCATGATCATTTCTATTTAGTTCCAAATGTTATTTTATTGTAAGAAAAATATAATATAAATTTATTTTGTGTCAAGTGAAGTGAACATTGTATAATTTCAGCTTTCATATTATGAATGTGTTAGTACTGCAGACTCTCAGATGCGAAAGTTTTTATTTTTAGACAAAAATGATATGATCCCATTACCAGTAGAGGTAAAGATTTTCTAACAAAATTCATGTTATCAAATGGTTGCAAATAAGTAAACTTCACTAAAATGTATTAAGTAACAAAAACAATGCCAAATTGATTTTTCACTTTGTTCTGGACGTAATGTTTCTGAATATTGACTCTTTGAGGTATCCTGTCTTAGTTTTACTTGAAATATCACAGTTCGAAGAGACTTCAAACACGTTCTTTCAATGCAAATATTTCTTTCAAAATAATGCATTTGAATAAAACATTCCATGTTTTCTCAGGACCCAGAGTTATTTAGGTTACGAAGAAGGAATGGTCAAGGTGTATATACAAGGACGAGAGTCAAACAGGTATGCACTATGAGGACTTTATTCATGTTATTACATACATGTATGGTTTCGAATGGTAGACATATTATGGTATCTTTCAGATTTATGCAATATTCTATGCTATGTTCTACAGAAAACTACGCCGCACCACGCTAAACAATACTGCATTGCGCTGCTTTACTACACTCTAAAATACTCAGTCTGTACATTGACTTTAATTGACACGGACTTTAAGTGTCAAATTAAGTCCGTTGTCTTACAAGACTATAGTATTTACTTTATTATATAACATACATGTATATGAATGCATACTATAGAAATTTTTACAAAACAAGGAAAAAAACGTCAAAGCAACGTAAAATGTTTGAATTCCCATTCGATTAAATATCAATATATTTGTAACATAAGAAAAATGTTGTCAGTTTTTTGTCGTTTATTTCCCTTACAATAACATAACAAGTACATCTAAAACTGTCTATATTTCAGACAATTGCTAAGAAAACACTTAATACCGCACATGCAAATATATTTATGGAGACCGATGATAAGGATGAGGTCGAAAAGAAACTTGTAGAGTTCTTTGAAGAGTTTATTGACATATGCTGGCTAATGACAATATCTCACCCAAGACTGCTGCTCAATTTTGATGTTGTAGGCAAGCCATATAGTGGTACAATAAAAGAACGATTCAAGCAGTATTCGTGTCAGGATATTGTAACAGACAGAAGTCTTTCATGCGGGGATATACTTGAGGTTGTGTGGCCAAGTGTGGAGCTAGAAAACGAAGAAGGTGTATGTGCTAAAGGCGACGTGATAACTGTTCAAAAAGGAAGAGACAACACTAAAGCTCACAGTGACAAAAGACGAAAATCAACTAGAAAAATAAAGGATTGTGAAAGTTTTAAGGAAGATACAATAACTGTACAAAAAGAAAAGACTATTATTGAAGGTTTTAACGCCAAAAAAAATATTACATCTGTTGGCCATGAAGGGGGAGAAAATTGTGAAACTGTCCACGGCGAAAGAAATATTATAGCTGTTCAAGAAGGGGATGTAGACGAATTTGAAGAAATTTCACTAACATAAAAAAAACCTTAAAAGATACTAATAATAATTTTATTTATTGAATGTCAAACGGGATGTTATACTTATGTTTTGATCTAAAATGTTTGTATTAGCAATACATTGTTGCAAAATCATTTGAAAACTTTTTCAGACAATGAAATAATTAACGTAAGAATTAATTTTACGCTGCTGAATTTGTAAACTGCTGACGAAGATAACCATTTTCTATTTGCAATATTGTACATATTTAGCAGCTATATCTCTAATTCCATCTGTTATACGTTGCATGTGTTCAAAAAATTGTTTGCGTGACCAAGCTTAATGTTAAACTAATCCGTGTTCTTGAATGTAAAGCTGCCATGAATAAAGATAAAACGACCCATTTATAGACTTTGCATGTCTCTTTTGTAACTGAATGTTATTTTGATATGATACAATGCAGGTAGATTATTTTCAGCGTTTGTGCAAAAACTGGAATAACATGAATATATATTATCAAACCAAATGTTGAACCCTTTGTACAGGTTTTCAACGCATGTTTGTCTAGATGTTTAAGTTGCGATAAGGTTATCAAAACGTTTTACTTTTAAATTTCAAATAAACTCTTCACCATTATCACGTTATAAAAAATATAATGTTTTATTTAGCTAGAGCGTAGCAGATACAAATATTCTAGATTATTTCTTTAATTAGAGAGTATAACATTTCAGCCGACAAACCATTTACCTGATGAATGGTGCATTTGCTCTCTGTCAAAAATTCAACATGGGTCCTATTCTGATATAAGAACGTGCAGCTATGGTGAATGATATTATGCATTTAAACAGGCGCACAGAAGAGCTCCTTGAAGCATACCATCTCATAGCATTTGCCATCATGTATACTGTAGTTTTTTGTACTTTGAAATACAATTATCTGAAAGAAAAAAAAAACGTTTTAAAAATTTATTTTTTAAAACAAATATTGTTTAAGTTATATTTTAACTGGTAACTGATACCAAGGTTCCAATTGTCAAAATGGTAAAGTCTTGATCTGTGCTTTGTTCGAATCATACTTAAGTCACGACCATATTACATTATATAACACCAGAACTGGTTACTCGTTGGCGAAGAAAGTTTTAAAAAAGTCCCAAACTTTTCAATTGAGCTTAGATAAAAATATTTAAACCATGAACATGCAGACCATAGGCGCATCTCTTATTTATGTGTTCTTGCGTTAGACCCTACATATTGCATATATATCGTGACATGGCTCAAGAATTTCTCGGAGAGAAGAAGAATGAACGGTTGTGACAGGCGCTTAAGCCACCTCATTAAAAATTGTCAGCTAAGAAAAACATATAGGTCACTGGTCTCGTTATTTTTGAACATATGTCCCTTTCTACATGTTTCAGAAAGCAACAATCTGTGTCTTTTTAATATTCAAAAAGTAAAACAAAACGCTGCTTATCTGTTGACCTTTCTTGTTGACAGTTAAGGTGTTAGGTCCCAAATCAAGAATTTAAGTACTTTTTATGAAGACAAAGGTAAATTTAAACTAGCTTAGACAACTATTTAAAACTTTGGATGATTTAAGATAATCATAGCTGAAACAGATTGATGAAAACAAATTTCGAGGTCATAATCCTACAGTCTGAGTTATCTACCCCTGAAAGTTGGTTTTTAGACTCTTTCAAAAACAGGTAACAGTGACAAGCAACACTGAAATTTATTTCAAATCTGTGTTTATTACATTATTCCCTGTCATGATTCATAGTTTGCTAAAAAAATCTATGCAAATGATTATTATGAATTATACCAAATTTTAGACATTTTCTACCAGTTATGCCCCTTTTTGAAGATTAGTTCAGTATGTCTTTTATAGTGAAGCATTGCAAAATGTCTTTTGGCTAGAATTGTATTATTTTTTTCAAAATGCCATAATTGCTAGTAACGTTAATATTAAATAACCAAACAGAATTTGAAATATTTTATAAGATATTGATCTGCTTGATTTTGAGCACGGATTTATGTAATATAAATCCGTGATTTTGAGTTATCTGCTCCTGAAAATTATCTCGGTCAAAAACTCATTATCATTGGCAGAAAACTCAAAAAGAAGGATGGTGGCACCCATTTATTGTTCACCAAGATTTTCTTTTATGCAAAATGTAATAAAAATTCTATGCGCTAGTTTTTTCCTCTTTTTTTTGCACTGTTCCTGGAAATGTGCTTTATAAAGTAACATCTGTCCAAACATTTATTTTACTGCATATATACACGGTGACATATGTTAATCGTAGGCTTTAAATACACAATTAAAGCCGTGGTGAATCTTACTTAAGCTCCGCTTGACAGATTTTAATTAAGTATGGGGGCCTAACTGCCTCTGATACATCGCGCCATTTGCATTTTTCTTACCTCCCTTTATGTTGAGAGCCACGCCCATGTCATTGCGGAAGTGAACGTCTTGCGTGACAGGTGAAAAACAGCATCACTGTTCATTTGATCGTCAAGGATAAACACAGGTAAACATTCTATATTTGTTAACAAATAGTGAGTTTTTTTCAGTTAATTAATAGATGACGCAGATGACATCATGTGTTATTTGCTCTTTTACATAGATCGATTCATATAATAAATTACAGACAGCAATGTTACTTGCTGCATATCAGCTTATTTTACATATTTCTTATGTACCTAATACCTTGGAAGACGTAAAAGTCCTTCCAGGTTGTTTTTCAGCTAATGCGTAGATATTGTATAAGTTGACTTAAACTCTGGTGCAAAATATAAAAAAAAAATTGTAAAACAAATAAAAAAGACAAATGATGCTGAATCAAAGATTGATACAAAGATAATGATTTAAATGGTTAACTGAATGAAAATTTAATTTTATATGCAGTAAAATATCTTCAACATTACTCTGTGCAGTATTCATCAGTTTTTCCACCATGATTGTAATTATTTGTATTTATTCAGTTACTTAGGATGTTATGTTGCTTTAGGGCTTGAAAATCATTAAATGTCTTGTCTACAGAAATTGGGATTGTGTACACCTGTTTATTATTTTAAGAATTCACATTAATCTTATCATCAATAAATGACATAAAAACAACAGTGCATTATCTATATTACATTTCACAAGTATTCTACATGTTTTATGTTAATTAAGTCTTATAATATGTACAGCGTGATAAGCAAATGGTTTATATTTAATGAATCACTGATAATGTATCTAAATGCAGAGATAGTATTATCAGTAGATCTCTTTTTTCTTCATTTTTTTTTTTCGTTGTTGACAATTTACAAGTTTAAATTAAAATATGTGTATGATTTATTTCATTATATTTTTTGTATAAGTTTCTATATAAATAACACAGGGAAATGATGGTTTAAGGTTAAGATCACACACTTCCATGTATGATGCAACCTAATTTTTTGTGATATTTATCAATTGAAAAATACTGAAAATTGTAGATTTGTATAGGTACATGTATAATTTATGCATCAGGGAACTTTTTTTTATTTATTGATGTGTAAATTCAAGGGTACGAAATCAAAAAGGAGAAGAAATTTCATCTTGTACTTCAATTGAAGGACTATTGATTTTTAAACTTGTATCAGTTTAACACTAAATGTTGTGAAGGCAGGTTATCAGAAGGTCAACTGTTATATCAAGATTTTTTTAAGTTTATGTAAGGTAATGAAAACCTATTCCTCATATCAGTACAGATTTGAGCCAGCCTAGCAATTGCACCAGACTTAGTACTGCAGACACTGCTTATTTATCTGATATTTGTATTTTTTATTTTGTTGGGGGTGGGGATGGCTTGAGGGAGGGGGTTTAAGTCAACACAATACTGTTTTTTGGCTGACTTGGTGGAGGAAGACCTCAGCTGCCTATCCATGTATTATTTCTTGCACAAGCTGGCACCTGAGGAAAAAACACTGAGGTTTCTTAAGCTAGCTGGAAAGCTTTGTCATTATTATAAAAATGCCTTAAGGCTTAACATTTTCAAATTTATATGATAACAAATACATTTCACACATGCAATTGGTAAAAGTTACATATAATCTCAACCCGAAATGATTCTGTATGTTAAATAAAGCTACATCGATTAGCATAATATTACAATGCAAAAGTGTGTGTAATGTTTCTCTCAAATTATCATCCATAACTGCTTGAATAAACATACAGTAAAAACATAAAAAGTAACATAAAATATGTATGTTTATTGAAGCAATATTATATATTTTGTTTACTGCCATGTTTATTTATATACGATGTTATATACATGGTTGTAAACAAAATATATTGCATAAATTAAAAATCTCCCACGTAAATATTTTTTTCCATATTAAGCTCGGTTTTACATGAATGATTCATTCTTATGATATGAACGAAGCAGACGACATCTTAAACCACTCTCGCCTACCTGTTTAATATGATATAGATTATAGATCTAAAGTGATACCTTGACTATATCTCAAACACAAACCCTGCAGTCACATATTAAAGGGCACAGAGGACTAAAGTATAGAACGTGGACTATAGACAATAATTATGTCTTGATCATTTTAGAACTAATTTAAATGATAAAAACTTTACCAATTGAAGCCTGGAAGGTAACAGTAAGACATTGATGAAATTAAGTATGTGTTTTTATAAACTCAGTTATTTTTATAGTTCTTCAATGCTTTTTTGTTGATCTACAACGGACGCTCAGACACTGTTAATTGAGGAAATGATAAAGGCAATGAGTATGCAACTGTCAATCATTTTTGTCTCAAGTCATTGCATGTTCTGGATATGTTAGTAGGTCTTGGGTGTGTTCCTTAGATATACTTCTTCCTTTCATGAAGTGGTTAAAAGTCCCTTCACGAATTGATTCATTTCCACACTGATAAATTTCATATGATTTACTGTCATTGTGATCTTTACCATTCAACCAAACTGGTTGACAGATCTTTAAATAATGAAATAAGACTTGTGATAATATAGGACACATTATCATCTTTCACCTATACCAGATTTTTTTATTTGACAAGTTATCCTTGTGGTTACAGGTTTATAAGATATTTTGTAGGAGTTTGACAAGACCTGAAGGTAGATTTATTATTTTACAATCAATTTATAGTGAAATTTGGGTGTTTTTTCTACATATTTGGAGTTTGTTGCTTTCTTAATAAAAAAAGTTATTTAGTTGTGAGTGAGTATATTACATATTTTATGAGATTCATTTGTTTAGTTATCTAAAGGATACATTTATTGTTGCATAAATGAAAACTGCTTAAAAGATTTATGGTACATACATAATGTATGATATATATATACATATACTATTACATACCATTGCATGCATAAGAATGTGGTTAAATATGAATTTCGAAAGAATGTTGTACAAATATCTGGGTGGACTATATGAATATTTTAAAACATTATTAATGGCATCCTCTGCTTTGAAAATAGAATAATAAAATAGTAAATCCGTAATTCATTATCAAAATGTGTATTTGATTTTTAAGCCAACAGTATAAAGCCTTTTTAAGGTTGGCACATTGGTGTGCCATCTAACCTTACTCTGTACTGGTGGAATAGGTTTGTTATTGTACTTGCAGTCATTGGTTAAAGCTTAATATTGAATTGGATTTAACTAATTACAGGATTGAAGCAGTACCTCTAGACGCAGAAATGATAGACAAATATCGTTTTGTTTTTTCGCTGATTTTTACATTTTTCATTTTTCGTATAGAAATCAATGTCAAAAGATGAATTAGACATTGTAAAGTTCATTCTGATGGGTGAAAAGTCGAGATTTTAGCATTTAATCATTCTTGAAAGTGTCTTGTCCAGTATATACTGGAATGCAGTATTTAGTGTGGTGCTCCAACACTTTTTTAGTCTCACTCTTTTTAATTAGATATGACTAGCTTATAAGTCTGTTGATTGTTTTGTAAAATTATCTTTGGTAAATTATAAAAAGAATTTTAAAAAGTGAGAGCTTGCATTGTTTGAATAGATTTCAGCTTTTAATTCAGGTATACGGTATTTTCTGTGTGTCAGGATAGCAGGGGCAATAACTGTTTTCCATTTCTTTGGATTTATATATACCTGAGTTATGGCCTCTTTTATTTCAAATATAGTAACATCAAAAAAAGAGGGTTGCATGTTATAGTAGCAAAACCAAGTTAACTGTGACCAGGTTTGTTAAAATTTTAGACAAAAGGGCCATAACTCTGTTCTATGGCAAAGTGGTTACATGTAAGACTGCTGAATTTTAACCACTTGATACCACTTGAATGTGGGTTGGAATCCTGCTAAGGACTTTGGTTGCTATAATACAGCTAGCTAATGGATAGTTGATGGTTCCACCCAGGTGCCAGTTTTTTTTCTGAAATAATAATTCTGGACTAACAGTTTTGCTGTAAATTGAAGCCCTAAACAAAAGAAAGCAATGCAATGATAACTTTTAGTTTGTGCAATTTTTTACTTTAATTTGATTTGTTATGTACTGATGATTTTAAATTATGTGATGCTATAAAAGGAAAGTTCCATAAATTGAGTGCAGAAAGGGCAATCTCAGGGCTGTACCTACATCAGGAAATCACTATTATGACCATCATTTTAACCTGTTAAAACTTCTTTTTTTTATAAAATTGCTCATATTATAAACAACCTTCAAGTCTTGTGATGCTTAGCTCATAAAGTTTTTTCATTCCAAGAGTTAAGAGCGAAACTGGTCTATCTTCTTCTGTTTCTACATATATATAAAGATGGACTGGTTTTGCTCTTAGCCCTCGAATTTCGTAAGAAAATCATTGACAATAATCTATTTAGAATTATACATAATGAGGCATAATGTATTGCATTGAAAAACAAAACTGTATTGTTGTATTGTATAAAACATGATTCATGGTTGTTCACCACACAGTTTAGTGGTATTACATTAGATGTTTGATACAAAAAAACGTCTACACTGTTACAATATACTGTTAGATTGAAATCTAACATCAGTTTACAATGTCAAATAACTTAATGGTATGTGTAACAAAGTGGTAAGTGAATTCGGAAATTCCATTTCAAGCTTCAGAGGTTTTTAGCTACTGTTGATTTATAAATGAAGTATGAATTACACTTTTAATGTTAATTGTGTCTACTTGTTTAACAATACTGCTTAATTGTTTTGATGTCTCTAAAAGTAGTAACATATTATGAGACCAGTTACCTCCCTTGGAATAACTTGTGTTATGATTAATGAAAAAAAGTGAATAGTAAGGACGGGTAATCATGTGACCTTTGTTGCCATAATGGATCTCTCAGCAGCTTATTGCCTTACCCTTGACTTAAAAGTTGTTTGCTATTTTTTTGTTATATCTTTAAGAAAAGTTCTTTTGTGATAATTATCTGCCTTTGTGTAAAATTATTATAACCAGTCATTAAAGGGACTCCACTGTAGTTTACAATGTCAAAGAACCCACTTCAATAAATTTAATATTGAGCCAAAACTCTTTGAATATCCTTAGTGTATTTAAATACAAATTCATGGTGTTCTAAATGCAGTGCATTAAATTTTTATATGAACTTTATCAAAAGTTAAATATTATATCCACTTCTGACAATGATAACATTTCATTCACCTAGAAGTTTTGCTATTCAGGTAAATCTTACTGGGCGAGCAAATGATAAATCTATAAAATATAGTTTTTTCTTGTCACAAGATTTGTGGTAACATCTTGGGAAATAACCTTTTCATCAAATTAGTTACCCATGTGAATCATCCTGATGAAATCTATGTAATGTGGTATTTTGTTTTCCTAGAGTTTGGGAGAAGTCCCACAATGTGTGAATATGACCACATGCTTTATCCTATGCAATGTTGTTTGTTGGACAAGCACATATTATTGATTATAATTAATTATAATAAAAATGCTCTGGAAATTGTGGGTTTTTCCAATGTAATCCTTGGGTACAAACATTTAAGTTTATACAGTAATAACTTTGTTGATAATAAAAGCTTTGCATTTATCACTCTATCTTGAACAGTGGTTCACTGTGAAGCTACAATGGTATAGGTTTATTTGTACCCCAGAATAAGATTTGAAATAAAAACAAAAGCATCTGACAATTTTGCCGGATTATCATCAATTTGAAGGGTGTTGACGAGAAATTATGTTCACTTTGTTCAATACAAAATTCCTTGCTATCTGTAACTAATGCAGGTCAGTTATTGACCTAATTTAAAGGTCATGTGTTAAATTAAAATGCTGTTTTTATTAATGTAACTGTTGTAGATAAGGTACAAAATAATCAAATTGCTTATTTTAGAACGTTTATGGTAATTTCTTTCTAAGACCAGACTTAAACTGTTCATGTTTGTCTATTGTCCTTTGTTTTATGGGTGATTGAACTGGTTATACCAGTTCAGTGATGGATGACTGGTTTTGTATGAAAGTTATTTAAAGATTTCTCAGTAAACTGACCACCACTTGATTTGCTTTTGATTGGATGACACATCAAAATTTATTTCTATATAAGGTTATCTTTGAACAGTAATTTCTTCATGGAATTATACTGATATATTGCATTCTTCATTTGTTACATTGAAATCAACTTCTTAAACAAAGCCTGGTATGTATAAATAATTATTTGTGAAATTGTTTTTATTGTAATTTGAATTGTTGCCTGTGATATATTGTATTTTGTACACATGTATAATCCTGACTATACATGTATATAACACTCAAAAGATAGATAGAATCTCAGTGTTTGTCTGTTTGACCTTACCACCTACACCACATCCGCAATGATAACTTGTTTTCTATTGATTTGAAATGATTCAAGGATCATATCGGAGTTTCAACTTAATTAATGAGATATTGATGCATTCATGATATATTAAGGATATGAGTTAATTTATAAAATAGGAAATCCTTCTTCAATTGAATGAGTGCTTCAAATATGATTAAATGCTATAGACGGATCGTTCCAGATGTGTTATTTATTATGGTAGGATTTACGATATCAATATACTTTGGATACATTATAAATAATTTTAGCTGATTAGGGGATGTATATATATATATATGTGTACTTTACAGAAAAATCACATGAAAAATCAGCATGATGGGGCCTCAGGTCTCAAACCATGAATCCGATCTGGATTGGCGGTCTAGTAAGAGTAGTATGCTAACCTTTACACCAGAGTGGCCATTAGTGGTGTAGTGGTAAGCATACTGGACTGGCAAACCAGAGACCCGTTGCTTGAGTCGCAACTGCGACATGCCGAATTTGCGTGTGATTTTTCTGTGTATAATTTCACGCTCTTGACTCGTTCTTTCATTTATGTGGAATATATATATAAGCTTTTAATGAATGTAACATTGGTTGATGTATACATACCAGAAGTGTACGCACTCAATAAGTAATTAACTTGATGAATAATTTACTTTATGTGTGAGAAGTCTAGATGTGAATACCACAGCCATTGGGTCATTGATTGTCTATATAATTCATCAATATTTGGCAGGTACATATTTGTAGACCAATGAATATGTCAGTCAATGCATACTCATATACCTATATCATTTATAAATTGATATTATTAATGTGATTAGAGTGTAGAAGTGTAATTGTTAAAAAATAAGTGTACATGTATATTTTTATTTGAAACAGATTAGTGACTAAAGGTATCTAAAAGTTTTTTGTTCATAAAAATTATACAGATACATAATTTAAGTATATAATATCTATAACACATTTACTGGCATGAAATAGTTTTGAATATTCATTCAGATTAATTGTATAAATGCTATAATGTAGTCATATACTTTCAAGTTAGTAAGTTACTTGACTGTACTATTGGTTTTCTTACTTTGTTTTTCGATAAGTTATAGTGATTTTGTATTTCAACTTACTCAGTTTTGTTTTGCATTGAAATTTGGTTGAAAATTTTGGTCAGATAAATTATTATGAAAAACAACTGTTTTATGCAAATTTTGCATTCAACATGGTGATTTTCTATTAATAATTTATGCTTTTTATATAATTTAAAAGCTTCAGTAGTGTTGATTTATTTTGGCAGTCATTTACTTTCTTCTTCTTCCTGTTTGTTGAAAGTATTTCCCTAAGATAACATTGTGAATAATCTTAAATCATTGGTATAAAATATATTTACTCATGTTGCAGTTTCTACACATTAATCCACTAATTTATATTCTATTATCAAACGTTTCCTTTTCAGACTCAAGTTTTGACTTAATTTTCCTTCTTCCTGTATTGTGAAGCAGACCTAAATCTAAGGTAAGATCTATTTTAAACCTTTCTATATGAAACTTTTCTAGAGCTGTCATTGATTCCTTATATCAATATCAAACAACAATAACTTACTTTAAGTTAATTACTTGTCTGTACTTCTTTTTCATATCTGTTCAAATTCTTGAATTCAATAAAATCTTAAACATGATCTTTTCATATATATGTCTTATTTATAAATGCCCATTGCATGATTTTTAGCCGACAGTTTTTGTCATTGTAACTGCAATGAAATATGCTTTGCATATCTTTTGGGTGAATTTTCTTAATTTCTAGACATTAATTATCAGTCAAAATTATCAATTTTCTAAAATTTGTATCGATTATTGATCAACAGAAAAGTATTAGCAATTACATGGATATCAAGAAATTCTATCGATGTTGATATTAAATATACATTAACTTTTCATTGCCATGTCAGCTATATCTCTTCAGCTAGCTGAATTATGGAATTTTAAGATACATGTACAATAATTGTATATCAGTGCCAGCAGGAGTTGTGGAACCTCACCTTTTAGTATACATGTAGATGAATGAGCTAATAATATAAAAATGCTTCTATATCTCAGGCAATATGTTATATATTCCTTGTAATTTTGACATAGCGTGACTAATGTGTGATCTACTTAAGTCATTTTTTTATGATCTTTGTCATATAAATTCTCATGATGGTAATATACATAACTTGGTGTTATTATATTTATCATGCAATTTGTATGTTACATAAAAAATGCTATGCTTGGATAAATTCTAAGTATGTTGAGGGTATGAAATTATATTAAATAAGCGTAGCTGAAGAAGTTTGTAACATGTTTTAAAAAAAATACTCAGTTATGTCTATTTAAAATAGGAGGCCTCCATGATCAAGAGGTTATAGCTGTTTTTTAAACCACTTGCCCCTTGAGGCTGAGGGATGTTTTATTCCAACAACTTTGAATTATTTCATGTGAGGGCTAAGCTATTCAGCTAGCTTACAGAATATTATTGGTTTTACTCATGTGCTGCTCATGCCAGAATTAATGCAAGATTCTAGATATTTTAATTCTGAATAATCCTTGTAATTTCCCACATTCTTTTGTATTTAAACATTGGTAACATATGTTTTATGACTCATACAGTTAGAATAAAATAAAGGCATTCTAACCATATTACCATACTGAATCAAAGTTGATTAGCCAGTGTAGAGCCAGTGGTCAGTCTGTGACCTGGCTCCACACTGTTGGCTGAGTAACTTTAAATTGGTTATGGACATGTCAAAAACTGATAGTTGGACATGGCCATTTAAGAAATCTGCCAGGTTTAGAGTTAAAAATAATATTATGGAAGTTTTTTTTTAAAACTTACTTACTGTTGAAAGAATAATGTATGCTGCCAAAGTGTAGAACCAAGTTGTATTTACTGACTGCTGCTTATTATAAGCATTTTGATATAAGAATCCTTTGATTTGACAATCATGAATGGACTATTCCAAATTCAAAGCAAGGTCATTCCATTTCATGAATTGAAAGCGGCATCTGACTTTATTTAATAAAAAAGGTTATCTTTTTACACAATTATGAATTATGATCGACAATTTACTTTTTTGTTAACCTTAGGTCAATCTTTGACCTGACATTGACTGTAAGAAAATAGTAAGTAAGTAATAAAAATAAGGATTGTCTTCTTAATTATCCACAATAATGTTTGCAAAATTACAAATCATGAAAAATTAGTAATTTGTTTACCTGAGGTTAATCTTTGACCTGACATTGACTGTAATTTTATAATATCAGTAATAAAAACAAGGTTTGTCTATGTTAACCACAATAATGATTAGTAATTTGTTTACCTAAGGTTAATCTTTGACTTGACATTGACTGTAAGAATATAATATCAGTAATAAAAACAAAGTTTGTCTATGTTAACCACAATAATGTTTGTCATGAATTTATCACACACTGTCACATCATTTTTGATGTTCAGTCATTGCAATACTCATAGTATTTAATCTGTTTTAAGAAAAGCCAATATTACTATATGGCCACAATGTAGCTGTGAACTTGTAGAAGAAGATATGACATGTATGTGGGAGATCATAGGTTCAATCCCCAGCTGTGTGGTGGCGTGGCCAAGTGGTTATCCTGTTGGTCCAGCAAACTTTGGATATTTTTCCTCTGTGCTAGTTTAAATTTACCTTCTCTGCCATAGTAAAAAAGCAGCACTCCCCCCACCCCCACCCAAAAAAAAAATGTAATGGTTCTCAGAGTGTACAAAAGATGTGGATGAATTTACGTGTGTATAAGTTGCTTTAATATCAAAGTGACATGCTGTAGATGGTATAATAAATGTTTTACTTATGAAGTGCTACATTCCATGTACTAGTACATACAAAACAATTACTGCAAAAAAAGCTTTGGGCAAAACAGTAATTTAACAAAACTTACATACAGGACATAAGTAAGATTTTTCATGTTCATAAACCTTAAAGTTACGTTAAAAAATACAATAATTTTAAATATGAATATATTTTAAAAGTTGCTTTAAATTTCTTCCAGAAAATGCAGAAAGCTAAGAAATATGACTGGAAGGACTCCAACATGGCCTTATTTGGTTCTGATACAGAAAAGCAAGTTAAAAGTAAGTAACTTTGCAGAATGTAACAGTCACCTATTGAGTGATTCTGTCTTCTAACTTTACAAAGTTGCCACAAGTCATTACTTTAGTGCAATAACAAGTTAATTCCTCATATAATTTAATCAGAGTTAACATGTCACTGCACTCAGGTGACAAGTCTTGAACTTTATCCACAATGTAATGTTTAAGTACCAGGCATCGAAAATATTTTCACTTTTCTTGCAGGAACAAGTAGCTTCTAAATCCAATGTGCAGGCAATATTTTTCTGATTTTGATTCAAAGCATATAATTCTTGATAAATTTAACTGCATTACTCCATACATTGCATTGCAATTTGAATGGATATTTTTTGGAGTTTTTTATTTATGACTGGTTCTTGTTTTATTATAGAGGAATCAGCAGAGAGTGAGCCAGCCTGGCAGGGATGTGGCCAGGAACCAGGTCTTCAAATCTGGAGGATTGTGGTATGTCTGCTTTTATTGTATATATGAGCCACGCCATGACAAAACCAACATAGTTTGTTTGCGACCAGCATGGATCCAGACCAGCCTGCGCATCCGCGCAATATGATCTGGATCCATGCTGTTCGCTATCAGTTTCTCTAATTGTAATAGAGTTGGAAGGCGAACAGCATGGATCCTGATCAGACTGCGCGGATGCGCAGGCTGGTCTTGATCCATGCTGATTGCAAACCCATTATGTTGGTTTTGTCGTGACGCGGCTCATATAGTTACTGCTGTTGGAATATCTCAGTATGGAGACCATTTTCCTTCCATTCATGCATTAAATTCCTGCTCAGTAACATGACCGTGTTTCTGTTTTGATTTTGTTGATGTTAATTCATCAACTTTGTCATTTAATCTGCCATCTCTGTTTCCAACTCAAGTTGAGAGTTACTCATGGACTTGTGCAGAATCCAGGAACAGTAGTAAAGTAAACTACAACATATAAAGCACGTAGATAGATAGGGCTGAAATATTCTAATACTCGCCTAAAAACCAAAACCAGCCTTCAAGTGATTGTCTTCAATTCAATGTATTTATCCATGATGAAATTATTTTTTTACTTAATTTGTTAATACTTTGTTGACTTTGTTTTTAGAATATTTAATCAGAGTGATTAAACAAAACCACTGAACCTTATCTTGCAAGTACAAGCACCTGTTAATGCCAATCACCGTACCTTATTAAGGCGCCTTAATTTATTATTTTTACTTATAATGTACCTTTCTTATGATAAACAGGATGTAGTCCTTTATACACTTATAATGTTGATAAGTGATAAAATTATTTTGTTAATGTGTTACAAACTGATAGTTAATGAAATGATATGGGTTTTTTTTTTCGTTTTACCAGAAATTTCAGGTAACAGAATGGCCAAAGGAAGACTATAGTAAATTCTACGAAGGAGACTCATACATTGTTCTTAATGTAAGTAATCAGTAATAAATTATTGATAGCTGTTACACTACATAAAACTAACTACACGGCATTACATACCAGGGGTGTCACGTTTATCTGTTCAAACGGGTACAGTCGGTTTTTAGCTAAGAAAAAAAATGATTAGAAAATTCAATAACTAGTAACGGAGATAAGTATTTGAAAAAGAGTACAACAAAATACAAACCAATTGGCATATCTTGTCATAAAGAACAAAGTTAATGTTGAAAATTTAATGATTTTATTAGTACGGTCTGTTAAACATTTAACACGGTTATCTGGTCTCCATTTAAATGGTTAGGATTTTCTCTTACCGTGACACCCCTATTACATACATTGTCTGATATTTTCACAGTCCATTTCTATGTTTCTTTTTGTGTTCTGCATAAAGCAGAAAACTGATGCAAATTATGGTCCAAGTCATATTTTCTTCAATAAATTTAAAAAAAAAAAATTTAAAAAATATTTTACGTGAAAAAAACTGTAAAGCCCACTATTTCTAGGAAGTAATCCATACATAGAATGTTTATTTGAAAATCAGTATTTTTTTATAAAGTGAAATGGCATGTTTTTCGTAATGTTGAAATATTACTGGTTGCACTTTACAAAAAGATACTGATTTATGTTCTAAGAAATCATTAGATTTATATATTTCTTACTAGAATGAGCAGGCTTTACACTCTATCCCATTAAAAAAGCAATGAAATATTAGAGAAAAGTTACCAAAGAAAATACTGCCTGAACTGTCATTTGTATTGACAGATAAGAAAATGCCACATGGATCACACCATGTCACATGGTATAGGCATCGTGATTGTGATATCACAGTCCGTCTTAAATGCTTAATGGTAACAAGCTTGTATTGTATCAGAAACTGAATGTTTATTTATAAATGTGTTGCTTGTAGGTATCACAGCTTACAAGTCAGCAATATTTTAACAATTAACCTACAGCGTTTCATAAATGGACCTGCCAAGGTTCCATTTTGAAACAGTCAGCAATTTGGAAATATCAAGATAACAATTTATACAACTGTCCACAAAAAGGATTTCATGATCAGTCACAATAAAAAAGGCCTACTGTGGCCAGGAATTGAACCCAGATCACAGTCCAACACTTCCTATTGAGCTGGACCGTTCAATTCACAGATGTTCAGACTTGGCTGTTTTTATTCACCCGTACAACAAGGTTGTAAGGGGGGTATACTGGAAACAGCTTGTCTTGTCTCCCTGTCCGGCCGTCCCTCAGTTTTTTCTTGCCCACCCAATAACTTAAGATTCCTTTCAGGCTTTCACCCACAGTCTTCATATTTGGTATTTAGATTGGTCATGATTAGTAGATGATCCCTATTGATTTTGAGGTCACCAGGTCAAAGGTCAAGGTCACAGGGGACTTGACTAAAAAAGCTTGTCCACCCAATTATTTAAGATTCCTTTAACCCACAGTCTTCATATTTGGCATGGTGGTTAGTCATGATTAGTAGATGACCCCTATTGATTTTGTGGTCACTGGGTCAAAGGGACCTTGACATCAAAAGTTTGTCCAGCCTTATAATTTTGAGGTCAAGGTCACAGGGACCTTGACTAAAAAATTAAAAAAAAGCTTGTCCACCCAATAACTTAAGATTCCTTTAATGCACAGTCTTCATATTTGGCATGGTGTTTTAGTCATGATTATTAAATGACTCCTATTGATTTTGAGGTCACTGGGTCAAAGGTCAAGATCACAGGGACCTTGACATCAAAAAGTTTGTCCGCCCAATAACTTAAGAAACCTTTGACCCATAGTCTTCATATTTGGCATGGAGGTTGATCATAACCATTAGGTGACCCCTATTAATAATGAGGGAGGTCACTGGGTCAAAGGTCACAGGGACCGTGACTAAAAAAAGCTTGTCCACTCAATTGCTTAATGCTTTGGTCAACAGTCTTCATATTTGGGTATTGAGATTGTTTATGACTAATAGATAACCTCTATTGATCTTTAGGTGACTGTGTCAAAGGTCAAGGTCACAGGGATTTTTACTATAATAAGCTTGTCTGCTCAAATGCTTAAGAATGCCTGTCCGCAGTGTGTTGATTTTGATATTTTCACATTTGAAGCATGTAGAATACATAACTTAGCATTGCACTGGCTTAGTAAACTCAGATATGACAGGGAGGTTGTTCTTGAGCTCTAAATGGCCACTGTTGACTCTGACAAAGTGGTATGCAGGGTATTCACGCCATGACAGTGGCAGTTCTAGTTTTTACTGGTGGCAAAGACTAAACACTTTTGATTCCAGCAGGTTAAGGGTTAATGTTGGGCTATACATATATCTCAGTTTGTGATCTTAATATACTTATTTTGTGTCTGAAATGAAACACTTATATCATTTGTTATTTTTTTAGACATACAAGAAGGAAGACGGTGATGAACTGTTGTATGATGTTCACTTTTGGATAGGAAAGCACAGCACACAAGTAAGTATTTTCCTCAAATGGACCTCCTTGTTGCCAAGACGCTGCCTTTAAAGGTTAAGGCATCAGAATTGCTGCCACTGCTTATCTCTGCAGGATTGTAAGTGGAGACTAAATGGGTTCAAATTACTGGAGTCTATAGATATAAGCATCTCTTAGCTCCGGCAGGTGAGAGGGGTTTGAACCGTTGTATTGCACCCAAGTGTAGTCAAATTCTGCTTTGGAGCCATATGACCTAAATTGTTTTAGTGCACCATTAAACCAAGCAAAAATCCTCAAATATATATGAATTAAATCAACAGTAGATTAATCCATGCCATACTAAATATCTAAATTGGACTCATCCATTTTTCAAGTTTGACAAAAATTATTTTAATTGACTGAATAGCCAACAGTGTTGACTTATAATGTTCTAGAATGTTTGATAATTTGTTTATGTTTAGATTAGTCCTTGTACAATTCTGATATATATATTTATTTATTTAAATAGAATGAATTCTGTTTAAGAATATTAGTACATGTATAGTTATTTTGTTTATTAAAAAGGGATTCTAAAATTCTAGAAAATTGATGAATTTATTGATTTGGATAGAATGAATTCCAATCTATTAAACATTGTATTTATATATTTATATAATTTTGTTTATTTTTTAAATAAAAAGGATGAGTATGGGACTGCAGCTTATAAGACTGTAGAACTTGATACATTCTTGGATGACAAGCCTATCCAGCATAGGGAAGTTCAAGGCCATGAATCTACGCTATTCAAGTCTTACTTCGAAAGTATTTCGTAAGTACTCTTATAAGAATTTATACCCTTGTATCCGTTGTTTATCCCCTTTTGGCAGAGGGGCTGCCTTTTATGGTTGATCATATGAATTGCAGCCACTGTTAAACTCTGCATGCTTGTAAGTGGCGACTAAATTGATACTTGTAACTGGAGTCTATGCATCCCTTAGCTCCTGAAGGTGAGATGGTTTTGACCCCTGGTGTTGCTTTGAAGTTGGTAACACAAAGGTTAGCCTGTTTCAACACCATATGACCTATAGTGTGTTGGTGTGCTGTAAAACCAAACAAACAAATCAGTTGTTTAATTAGGACAATATAGTTTTATTTTTTAGCCTTTAAGATCTTTCTAAGAATAAAAATCCATAGAAGTTAGTCAGTTTCCTATCTTTGCTTTGCTTTCTCCCTACTCTATGTATGTAGATAGATCTCATTGGGTAGATGTGCAATGCTCTGCCTTAACAAATTTTTGAGTTATTACCTTTCATTTATTTTTACACTTTGAACTTTGTCCAGGACATAACTCTAATACTATAACCCGAAGAGATATCAAATTTTTTAGATGATTGATTTTATTGGAAATTGACAAGAACCCAACTCAGCCTTTTTAATTTTGGGGTTTTTGGTTTTTTTTTAAAATTAAATTTTTCGGGGACAAAATTTAAAAAACTACAAAGGTATCAGAAAGAACTAATTTGGTCGATAAAATGTCATTGAGAGAAAAGGTAAAAACAAAACTTTGCCTGCCTAATTTAATATCGCACTTTGAATTTTGTCCGTGAAGGTATACTTTTCCGTGTCCAAAACCTATTCGGGGAGTATCACCAGGTTCAATAGTATCTTGTTCTATTTGTTGTTAAATGATGTAAATAATTACTATTTTCTAAAATATTATTATCTTTATGTAGAAAAAAAACCGAAAAAAAACAAAACAATAAAAATATAATACATGTAGTTAAATTATCAATAACTGTTTCTGCATTGTGTAAGACTGCAAAATTATGCAAAGGTCATTGTAAAATTATTCATAAAGGTCAAGAGTGAAGATCAAAAGTAAAATTTTAAAACAAAAGTCTATTAAAAGTTATTTTTTAATGTAAAATATGAAAAATCATTGTGAAAATTTAAAGGGCATTGTAAATTTTGCAAAAAGGGCAAAATGAAGATCAAAAGGTCTATATATAACCAGCCAGGTTAGATGTTAAACTTAATTGTGAAATGATATATTGCAGGTATATGAAGGGTGGAGCAGACACTGGTTTTAGGAGAGTTGTGCCTGAGGAATATGTTCCAAGATTGTTTGAGGTGAAAAAAGAAGGGAGGAAAATATTCTCAAAGGAGGTATGTAATAAACGTTATTCATAAAAGCTGCGTCATGACAAAACCAACATAATGGGTTTGCAACCAGCATGGATCCAGACCAGCCTGCCCTTCCACGCAGTCTGATCAGGATCCATGCTGTTCGCTTACAAACTCTAATACAAGTGGAGAAACTGACAGCGAACAGCATGGATCCTGATCAGACTGTGCGGATGCGCAGGCTGGTCTGGATCCATGCTGGTCGCAAACGCATTACATTAGTTTTGTCATGACACGGCTCATATGTATTAGTCAACACCTAATTTTATACTGTTTGATTTGGTTTTATGTCACACCGACATAGTATTGGTTATATGGCCGTGTTTGGGCTATACTGGTGGAGGACCTCAGGTGCCCGTCCGTGCATTATGTCAGGCACAAACGTGCACCTGAGTAGTACCACTGATGTTCCATAAGGGAGCTGGATAGCTTCCTCAAATGAAAGAATCTGAAGGGATTCTAACCACAGCAGTGAAGGGCAAGTGGTTTAAAAAAGTCAACAACCTTAACCACTTGGCCATGGACGCCCTAATTTTATACTGTAAATTCACTTAATTGTTGATTGAATTAAATATAGTACAGAAATGATCTTACAAATTTAATAACTGATCTTTTTATGAAAACCACAAAGTAAGTTCCCTATGAATAATGGTGATTTTTAGTATACTGTCAAACTGGTTTATTTACATAATTATATTAATTTCGTTTATATTCACAAACCAGTTAAAATTTTCTTTGCAGTTAAATTATCATGATTAAATATATAAACACCTAAATTGATTGTGCTTTTTCACTTTATTCAGCTGCAACAGTTTTTATTTTGGATATAATGATGTGAATTCATGAATATTCGATTATAGTAAAAACACACACACACATGTATGTGATATAGGCAGAAAACTTGTTTTTGTAACTTTTTTCACCTGTTACTTGTTGTCTTGTAGATTGCCCGTACTAGGAGTAACCTCAAAAGTGACAATGTGTATATTATTGATGCTGGACTTACATTATACCAATGGAATGGATCAAGTTGCAGTCATGATGAGAAATTCAAGGTACAGAGTTTGGTTCTAAGTTTTGCGTTTAATAAAGTATGAAAGTGTTGTGTATAATTATAATGTGTCATATTTGAAGATTTATCTACTGATATTTAATTTTTTGTTTGATAGCTTACAGCTGCATGCTGCCATTGATGAGCTGAAATATTTCAAGAAAATAAAAAATTGAGAAAAATGAGTACAAAATTGTACAATTGTTGATAAGACGGGCCCCTGGGCGAGTCAGGTTTGATTCCCAGACTGTACACATCCTTTTTAATGTGATTATGAAATCTTTTCTATGGTCATTTGCACTGTACAGAGGCTAACAATTTTTTTTTTTGCGAAAGTTACCTAGTACTGGTAAACTGCTTGACAGCCTGCCCAGAATCCATTTGGTAGTTGAATTGTGCTCAGGTGAAATCAAAATGGCTAACTGCTGTGATCTGGAATGTAAACTACCAAAACTACCACCACCATTCTACAAAAGAAGTGTCAAATAAGATGTTTCTGGTTGTTTTGTTTTCTATGATAGTGATTTAAAATATTATTATATGTAATCTTTAAGGCTGCCCAAGAAATGCAAAAGATTGACAGTGAAAGAGGAGGCAAAGCTAAAACAGTATGCCTGGAGGAAGACGGTATCTCACCTGAAGTAAGTTTTCTTATATGTAATCTCCTTTTTAGTGATAATTAACAAGAAATCATTATTAAAATTCTGATTTGCTCGAGTGAAAACGCACATCAAGTTTGTCTTAAATAATTTTTTTAATCTTATTGTTCCACTTTTAATGAATGACGTCTCATCTTTTGATATAAGTCTCTAAGGGAGGCAACACTTATTACCGCAGAATAAGGAACTTTGGTGGTTCTACTCAGGTGACCATTCATGCCTGAAGTATTGCACTGAGGTACACAACAAGTTATAAGCTGGTAAAAAGTCGCCACATGTCTTTTACAGTGTTGATGCCAAGTAAAAACAAACCTAGCACCCACAAACCCACTGCACCCTCCCCCCACCCCACCCTTCAAATAAGAAAAATAATTAGCAGAAAAACATCCTCTGAATGAAAGTATGTCTTATATAGACATTTCTTTTAAGCATTTTATAGAGATTTCACCTATATTGTTAATTCTAACAAGATCTCACTTACTTAAATGAAAATCTGGATGTTTTGTGGGTTTTATTTGAATATAAATTCAGGACAGATTAGTCTGACACTGACATTCTAAAATTATTCAGGACAATTATTTTGGATTTAAACTGTTGTTGATGAGGAAACCAGGTTAGACCATAAAATGTAATTCCTTGCAATGATTTTATTTATTTAGCACGCAGTTTATGGTTACCTGGATGGAGAGGATGATGATGATGATGAGCCTGATGCTGATGATGATGACGCTGTTGTTCTGAAGAAGGTGTGTGATGCTGACGGAACCTGTGACCTAGAGGACGTGAAAGAAGGGGAAGTTAGTAGAGATGACCTCACGTCGGATGTAAGTGTAGAACTTTTTGTTCTTTTATTTAACTCTCTTCTGGCAGAAATTGAAAGTCATGAAGCTTTGCCACCGATATAAAACCAGGCAAACAAGCTCTGTACTCTCTTTGCTGTACATTACCCTGTAACATTAAAATTGAAATTATGGAAAGAATATGTGAAAAAGTGCTGTTTTTTTCAAAGAAACAAACCTATTTTTTTTTTTATCAAATTGAGAATCAATCAGATCAAAATAAAGATCAAATTTAGGATCAAGATCAGTTTTTAACAATCTTTCCTGTAAGTTCTGGTCAAATTCACCTCAAAATTTCTTTGTAGCATTCTTTGTGTGACTAAAATCTTTAATCTGCTAAAATCTTAATGAATTTGCCTCGCCAAGAATTTGGAATAGTCAATTTAACATTAGAAGTGATTTCAATATCAAAATACAACAACTGAGCTACCAGCAATATAATAGAACCCAAGGTCAGATTGCACTTTTGGTTTTTGAAGGTTAAAGGTTATTTTACACTTATATAAGAATACTTTGACAAGTGATGCTAGGTCATTAGAGCTTTCTTATTACGAACAAATTTAAAGATATACTATGCTCAAATTTGATATCAAGAACTATTGGTAATTGCTACACAGTCTCTTTGTAAATATAAAATAAACATGTTTTGACTTCACACAAAGTAGATATTTCATGTTTAAAACCCTACACACTAAAGGTGGTCACAATATAAATATATAGTGTCATTAAAAAAACTGGCAGTTTTTTTATGAAAATACCAACTTTACTTGTACTGTAAAAGGGGACGCCACTTTCATAACATAGTTAATTCATATTTTTATTCAAATTAAACATATTCTGTAAGGATTTTATAGGTTTTAACAAATTTCTTTGATTAAGATATTTTACTCAAAGATGAGCATAGTATATCTTTAATCTAGAAATAAAGATATTTTTTGTTTTTTAGCAGCTAATCTGTAGGTACAAACAAACTTTTACAGTTACAGCTTTGAAAATAAGTGCAACAGGTGGACTTATCTATTGTGCCGGGTAGTGAACCGTGAAAATATAATGATAAAAATTGTTTGTACATGCGAATTAGCTGAGAAAAACCCACATTTGCTGAGTTCCGGATAACATCTTAGGATTATCTCAAAATTGTTCATAAAGTGGATTCATACAGTTTAGATATTGTGTTAAAGTTTAAGATTGTGTAAGTATAGGAGACCTGTAATTTTTCTCTTCAGCTAGTTACTGAAACAGTGTATTAAAACAGTGTATTAATATATTAGACTTTTAAGATACAGACAGACAGAAAAGATTTCGTTTAATATGTGTTACTAGGTATTTTCTTTTTGTTGTAGGCTGCATATTTGGTACATAAAGACAAGCATTTGTTTGTTTGGATTGGTACTGAAGCATCTGTTGATGAGAGACGTAATGCATTTGGATATGCTCATGTAAGTTTTATTTTATCTTTTTATATCATGATCATGTCAGTCAGTTACAACTTTTATAATATACCTATGCTATTTTTGCAACTCCATAAAAACGGTATAGCACGGCTGTGCAATTCATGACGAGATGTTATTTGCGTTATAGAAACAGCATTAAGTTGGCTAAATTTTAGCCTTATATTATGGGTGCTTCAGTGAAAATAACTCTTTTTTGGGGACTGTAAACATTTCTTGTTTTGGGTATGTTATAAATAGGCTATTACATTCCTGTAGCTTTATTACTAAATTTATTGAATGTGGCCGTTTATTTATCTTTTTATTTGTGTTCAACAGAAATACTTGCAAGGAACATCAGTCCCATGGACACCTGTAACTGTCGTAGCCGAGGGTAAGGAAAATGATTTGTTCAAAAGCTCTGTACCAGGGTGTGCCTAAGTGTGATGTACAGTCAGCAAACATTAAAATGAACTCTATTTACACTCAATCTGCCGAGTTTCTTTAATCCAGCTATTATGTTTGGAACTGTTTATTGTCAGTTTTGGGTATATCAAGTTAAAAATTCTAATATAGCTAGCCATCGGTATATTGACAGGTCGGACGGTATGGATGTGCTTGGCTGGCTGAGGCTGTATACTGGTGGCCAAAAGGCTAATTATTTTTGGTTTTAAGCTAAGTAAGGGTTTATAGAATTCATTATTGGATGATGTAGTTTCTTTTGAATATGTAACCTTCACCTTGATATACACAAATGTCTTGTTGCCAACACTACATTATAATTATATCATCATGAAAATATTTTGAATATATACATGAATATTATGATGATATAACTTTTCAAGTTTTGAAGCTATATAATGTAGCAATAGCATTGTCCCACACATATTATATAGTACTGATGAATTTTGTGCAGTAATTTCTATATACCATTACACTGCTTGCAACTTTAAGATACAAGATGTATATTCAACTGTTTAGAAGAACATCTCTTTTTTTATTCTATTTTATGCAAGCAAATAGAGATTACAGTGAGATATTACGGTAACAGTCAGTGATACAACTTATATTTCACTAATATAATCAGTAGCATAAAGATTTTTTTATATCTCACTAATGAAAACAATAGCACCGGAGATCTTCCTACACCTTTAAAGCTGGAAAGTCACCATTATAGGCATATGACCTTTACTGTGTTGGTGGGGCATTAAAAATCAAATACAGAAAATAAAAGCTTTTACAGTGATAAATATTCTGTGAGCGAATTTTTTTATATATCAATAATGAAGCAAATATGTATTTTTCCTCTAGAACACTTAATGAATGTATATTCTGTTTTGTTGTTTTTTAGGTTTTTTTTTCTGTTTAAATCTTGTTGCTCAAGGACTGCTTTTTTGCTATTCAATGTCAAATGTTCAATATGCTGCAATTACTTAAAAAATGTTGTGTAAAGGAGAAAATCTGTGCAATCTTGATATTTCATTCATCTTAAAACTTTAAGCTTAGCTTATAATTGCCTTTTCAAACCTTTAATTATGCTATTGTATTGTTTCTTTTTAGATATATCAATTCATAAACTTCTAAGATTCATTGTAGATTTAAAGCAAGACAAATTTCATTACATAAATTCAACATGGTGAAGGTTTAAACGGACTATGTTGCAATATGTTTTAGACTGTGCTAATTTAATGTGTTATTCTTGTTATACTGCAGTAGATCTGTACCACACTTTGTTAAAGGGAACATTATATATATATTATTATTATATTATTTTCTTAATATATTTAACAAACATTCTAAATCTTGGCATTCCATGTCATTTTTTTTCTTTCAAAAAGCTTATTTTACATTATGTATAACTTGCCTTAAAGTAAATTTACATACAATTTTGATGCATATATTGTTAACATTTCTTTTCTTTTCAATTAATTCATGAAAACAAATGTTTGTATATAAGAAGAAAATTGGTAAATTTCTTAGTGCAAATTACTTTACAAATTCAAGTGACCTCTTCATAATATTTTTTTAATCAAAAGGGTTTACGATTATTATTGTAAAAAAAAGAAAATTGGACAAGAATTTACATCTTTCTCTTGAAAAAAGAGCTAGCCATTTCGTTTCTAAAGTAACACGCTTTCCATATTTGCTTTTCGTGTTTATTTACTGATTTAGATAATTTCAAATAAAACATATCAAAATGGTGCTTAGAGTTTGTTTCATTTTACCATTATACAATTTAGTCTAAACATGTTTTTGCTTGATTGCAAAATAAATTCTTGCAAACTTATATTGATCACTTTTGAGTCCGCTTCCTGAAACTAACCAGTAACTGGTGTCATATAAAAAAAAACATGATCGTGATCCGATTAGTGCTAAAACCTGTGATTCCTGGGTTGAACGACAGACACTTTAACCACTAGGCCACCGCTTCTCTCGACAGAGAATTAGTTGTTTATTGTTGGCAGCCCTATTGTGAACATCGGTGGCAAAAGAAAAATTGTGTGTGTGTAGCCTATGCTTAATAAGGGTCCATCTGCCCGTGAAGGGTACAAAAAGCAGCTTAAGCTGTCGAGTACGGACCTGGTACAGGACACCAGTCGATCATGCCCTTAAAGGGTTAATTTTGAAGCACAAAGTGGTGATAATTTACCTTCATGCAATTTCCACGTAGTATTATGCAAAGATATGAATAATTTGAGCCAAAACTTGGTCACAAGTGTACAGTAACTTGAAACAATACGGAGAGGAGATAGCCTGAAGAAAAAATATTTTAGCAAAAAAAATTAAAATTGAGCACTTCTTTAAATACCATCATCGCTGAAGTAACAGTGATACATCTTTGGTCCATCAAAGTTTACTTAATTCATTATGTTTAGAAGTATTTCATTTCGGGACATTAACATGTCGAAGGTACCTATATCTGTTCACAGTATTCTGGTAACAATTACTTCATCACAAACAAGAGCTGTCACAGGAGACAGCGAAACTCGACTAATAAAATACTGGACCCTGTAAGGAAGACAAAAGCATGAAAGAAAAATCAGTTATGTATAATTATGTTTAAAGTAGATACCTTAAAAAGTAAAGAAGTTATATTTCTTAAAGAAAATCCTAAGTTCAAAGAGAGATAAATCTGTAAATATTGATTCAAGTGTTATGAGCATTGTCACATAAAATGTAACTGATGATAAGGAATAAGTATTTTAAGTTTGAGGTAGGTACCTTTAAAACAAAAAAGTTATAGTAAAAAATAACATTTTTCTAGTAAAAAAATCTAAGTTTATGGGGAGATAATTCTTGCAATATTGGTGCTAGAGTTATGAACCTTGTCCCATAAGATGTGAGTAAGGATAAGGTACATATATTTGAAGTATGAAGTTGATCCCTTAAGAAATAAAGAAGAAACAGTAAAAAATAGTATTTTTTCAGGAAAATTCTAAGTTCAAGGGGAGATAAATCTGAAAATATTGGTGCTAGAGTTATGATCCTTGCCACATAAGATGTGGTTGATGATAAGGAACATATATTTGAAGTTTGAAGTTGATACCTTAAGAAATGACAAAGTTATACTTGCCTTTTTTAAATTAACCTTGTATAATTATTTAAGCCAAGCTCATAAAAAAACATCTGCCATCTGCCACCATGCACCAGTAGATGGTTCTCCCTGTTCTATAACTATTAAAGTTAATCTTAAAGAATTCACGCCCACGCACATTTACAGTGTACTATATGTGTATCAAGTTGGTCTCCACGCATGGGCGAGTAGGATATCTCTCCCTATTATATAATTATTTAAGTCGAGCTTAAAGAAATCGCGCCAAAGTACAGACTCCCTGTTATATTGTAGATAAATTTAACAGAAATAATAACAATATGACAGATTCATTTTCAAGCGAATTCAAATGTCTGTTTAACTGCAGAAGGGACTCGTATCTATTTGTTTGACTGATCTTAGATGTCATTGGGTGGCACGTACCGTTGTAAAAACTCCGTGCCTTAAGTGATAACGCTTTCATAATCATTTATGATATATTTTATTTCACAATTTCTATATATAGCCAAAGTGTCAACAGAAAAGAAATGTGCAAATTTGAACGATTAAATAAATATCGCAGAAAATATACAAGATAATTAACATAAATTGCCTCCCCTTTATAATTTATCACCATCTGTATTGAAAAGGGAGGCTACTATATTCAAATACTATTAACAGATCAGCAGTGACTTTACTTAACGAGTATTCGAAATTTATCACACATAAAAAAAAACCTGAATGTATATACTAATAATCCAATATCAAAGGAACCCCAATGAAGTTTTTCTCTTTTTTTTGACATGGCGGGACTGGAATTAATTTTTCAAGATTAATATTGAACTTGATGCCGGTCTAGACCACTAACATGTGATATCGTTCAGCCACTCTTTTTTCCAGAATAATTATTTAAATTGTGAAAAAATGAAATTTAATAGTGCCAGAAATTGATAAGCGTTACAACGTAGACACAATTGATTTTCAACTTAATTCCGAGTTTATATATTTTGATATATTTCTTAATTATCTTTTGCTGTCTTTCTGTTTGAAACTGCCCCAGGTGATAAATGTAAGAAAATCAATTTTTACATTTTCAGGCTTTTGTACTTTAGTGGAATTTCCTTAACATTAAGAAAGCCTATATTCATAATGAGACTAAATGTGTTAAAGTTAAACCATATACTAGCAGCAAGAATTAAATCTTGGCACATACTGGTCAATGACTAATGCACTCAATTTTTGATGTCAAGAAGGAAACAGTTTCCTTAGATGATAAAATGTCCATAGAAATAATCACACTCCCTGATGATGAAAAGGTCGGACCCTTCTACTTTGTGGTAAAACTAGACATTTATATATAATGCATAACCAATAACAATTGCAGTGTTAATAGAGAAATTATACCTCTAAAGCATGTTAAGCAATAATAACCGAAATATAGAGCACTTTAAAAGGCCCATTAACCCCCCCCCCCCCATGAGCCATGATTATACAATACAATGTTTACATGAAAATAAACAAAAAAAAACTTTATATGGGCCTCGGTCATCCGGCACCTTAATTTGAGGAAGGTCTTGTAAAACCAATGTCCTTTCCCCCCTTGCATTTAAGTTACGTTTTGAAACAGCATTATTTTCTGACATCTGAAAAATTACAACAGACGACAACTTTCAATACAAAATTAGATCTAAATATAAACAGAATATTACTAAAATGTGCTTACTTTTTAACCCCTTTCATTCTGAGAAAATTGTCGTGTCCTAAAATTGAGTATACTCTTTCGGGTTTTCTACAATTAAAGGCACATTGATTTTCAGAAATATTCTTTTCAGTAACAGATTTAGAACATGTTTTCCATTATCACGCTGAATGTGATATAATCTGTTCATAAAAGTAGTGAAATGTAAACAAAATGGTATTTTAAATTTCATACAAAGTACTAAATTACAGTGCATCTGTACTAAATTCCAAAATTTAGTTTAATAATGGTTTTATATAATCAAAAACGTAAATAGGGTCTGCGTTAAACATATCCATAAAAATAATTTCCGGTTCGTGTCGGATCAAATTACATACATGTACATATTTTTATACAACATGTGTTACTGTTTACATTAGTATAAAGAATATATAATCTTTACTTATTGATTAAAGCACTATAAGCTAAAAATCCTGATCTTTTAAATTTCATAATTTCATGTATTTTTAATAACAAGTGTTTACGTTATTTAAAAAAAAATGTGCATTTATCAGTTGATGACGCAACTAGGGAGAGAATAATTAATTTTCAAACTATGTAAACAATACAGACATAATGTGTTGTCGTTTCAACAAAACGCTTTACAACACTTATCTTAGGATCAACGAGCGATAAAGAAAGTAAATATCATATCCAATTCGTCGATTATTCAAGATTTAACCAACCGGCTGCACAAAAAGTAATTTGTCTGAACTATATAACTGTAAACAAAACATATTTTGCGACCCATACAAAGGATATACATAGAAAATGTAATGTTATAATAATTATGTATGTCCTTGAAGTTACAATAATATCAATCTAAATTGAAAAGCAAAGGAATGTACTTTTTGTACATTGTAAAAACATTAAAGGGAAACACAGGCAAAATTTTTATTTATTTGTTTTGAATTTTTCATTCATTATTATATAAATGTCCTCAAAATGGATAGACTAGGCAGTCACAGGAACAATACTTTTCTACTTATAAAGTGGTGGTTTCCTAACTTGACCCGCGTGGGTCAGGTTAGAGCGTTAAGATTTCACAATAGTTGTCACAGTGAACTCTGGAAACGTTAAAGAACATGTCAAATGAATGACTAAGACTTGTTTCAATCATACAATATCCACAATATTTGTGATTGTAACTTCCAGGATTTGTTCAAGTCACATGACTTTTTTTAGAACTACTCGGTGTTCTGTCGGCGTCTAAATTTCATTCAACATATATAGATATATTTACGCTTCAAACCAAAAATATAGTGATATATACAGAAATTCATCCTAGGATTTAATAAAAACGTCATTTTAGAATGATTTGAGTACATAAATAATTTTAATATTTTTGTCATTAATTTGCCTGAGATTAATAAAGATTTTTATTTTTTTTACCCATAATGAACGAGCTTAGTTCCTTATTTTCTTACGACCAGAGGCATAGTCAATATTATTATCAACGATATTAACACTGTTTTAGAACTAAAACTAAATTTGCGACTGTTGACTGGTACCTTTTATATTTGCACTGATTAAAATTACATTTTTTTTAACCAAAAATCAAATTAAAAAAACAAATGATATTCATGAAAATAGTAAGATTGATATTTAGCTCGTATACATCTGGAATTTTACATTCTTGCCAAATGAAAGCTTCACATAAGATACCAATGTATGTGTGATGACAAATTTCAAAAGATCTCTTCAAGAAATTAAACCGTAAGTCTACACTTTCTTGAAAAGTAGTACGAATTTGAACAGTATTTGTTTGTTTTTTCTTTTTACAGCTTTTACAAATAATAATTCGTGTAATGTTACACAGTCATTTTATCCCAGGTCACAAAGCTCAACAATCCTGATCGTCTGATGCAGATTCTAAGAGATTGTCCATCTGACTTCTTATCTGACGTCTCTGCGACAAAAGTCCGCGCAATT